GAATACTAGCCAACAAGAAAAAGAATGCATTTCTGACATATGTTAAAACATGGCTGGACCTCAAAAAAATCTGCTGATTCAAAGAAGCTAGACACAGAAGATCATACAAAATACAAATCCATTTACACAAAATATCCAAAAGGAAAATCTACACAGAGAGTAAGCAAAGCAAAGGCTGCCTCGGGCTGAGGACGGGAACAGGGACTGAGTGCAAACGTCACAGATTCTCTTGGGGTGATGGAAGCCTTCTAAAGCTGGATTGTGAGGATGGTTACAACATCATGTTACAAAAAAAAAATCACTGAATTATACACTTAAAATGGGTGGATTTTACTGAGGTCATAGTTCAATAAAGCTATTAAAAAAGATAATAGAATACTAATAAATTTATGCCAACATATTGGACAACTTAGATGAAATAGATATATTTCTTGAAAAACAATGTCCTCAAAAGTGACACAGGAAGGGGGCTGGCCCCGTGGCCGAGTGGTTGGGTTCGCGCGCTCCACTGCAGGTGGCCCAGTGTTTCGTTGGTTCGAATCCTGGGTGCGGACATGGCACTGCTCATCAGACCACGCTGAGGCAGCGTCCCACATGCCACAGCTAGAAGAACCCACAACGAAGAATACACAACTATGTACCGGGGGGCTTTGGGGAGAAAAAGGAAAAAATAAAATCTTAAAAAAAAAAAAAAAAGTGACACAGGAAGAAATAGAACATCTGAATTAGTCCCGAAACTGTTAAAGAAATTCACCCCCACAATTTAAAACCTTCCTTCAAAAAACTCAAGGTCCAGATGGCTTCAGAGAGGAATTCTTCCCAATATTTAAGGAATAAATAAAATGATCTCACATAAATTCTTTCAGAGAACAGAGAAAGACAGCTAACTTCTCAACTCATTTTATGAAGGCAGCAGACCTCTAATCCCAAACCAGACAACACAACAATTAACTCTTAAAGAATCAAAATCCCTAACAAAATATTAACAAATTGAGTCAACCATGCATAAAAAGCATAACATGGCCTGATCGAATGAGGTTTCCCGCAGCAGTGCAAGACAGCCTGAACATGCAGAAATAAATAAACGTTATTAATAAAGGAGGAAAACCATTATCACTCAACAGATGCAGAAAAGGCATGGGATGAAAATCTGTTAATTGTAAATATGATCAAGAAACTAGGCACAGAGGGAAAATTAATCTGATAATCAAGATCTACAAAATATCTACAGCCAGCATCATACTTAATGGTAAAACACTGAACACCTGCCCCCTTGGGACTGGAAAGGCACTGTCCAACAGAATTTTTTTGTGATGATTGAAATGATCTATATCTGCACCATCCAGTCTAATAGCCACGAGCCACAAGTGTCTACTGAACACTTTAAAAGTTACTAAGAACTTTTTAATTTAACTAATTTAAATTTAAATAGCACATGTAGCTAATGGCCACCTGTTGTATAATAAAGAATCTGTCTGGTTTTTGTCCCAGCTTTCTGGGATGGAGCGTCTAAAGCCTTGGAATTTCCCCAGTGACAGGAGAGTCTGATACCCACGGCAGGCTCCTCCTGAGCTTATGCTAACAAGGTGACTCATGGTGGCTCCTAGATAGTTTCCAGATGGGCACTGGCCATGCTGGAAAGAGATGATTCGAGGGTGGGGGCTTTGAGCCAGATATCAGCCCGACCTCCAGGGAGGGGAGGAGGACTGGACACTGAGTTCAATCACATGGTCAACGATTCGATCAATCAGACCTGCATCATGAACACCCAACAAAAACTCAGGACACTGGAGCCGCAGGTGAGCTTCCTGGCTGGTGAACACACAGACGTGTCCAGGAGGGTGATGTGTCCTGACTCCATGCGGAGAGGGCACGGAAGCTCCATGCTGGGGACTCTCCCAGACCTCACCCTATGTGTGTCTTCATTTGGCTGCTCCCAATTTGTGTCCTTTATAACAACACTGTAATTGTAAGTACAGCACTTTCCTAAGTTCTGAGTTGTTCCAGTGGAACCCCCTCAAATTTGTCAGTCTGTCAGAAGTGCAAGTGGCCTGGGGACTCCCAAACTTACAGCTAGCAACTGAAGTGAGGGCAGTCTTGCTGGACCAGATAGGTAGTGTCAGAACTGAATTGCTGTAATGTGCTAACAGTAGACAGAGCAGGTAGAGCAGGGATGCATTCCAGTCCACACCATACGGAAGTCCTGGCCAGCACAATAATGCAAGGAGAAAGCATGAATACTGGAAAGGAGATGCAAAACCCTCATGCACGGTACGATGGCAAACGAAGAAAATCCAAAGGACTCTACAAACAATTAGAATTAGTTAATTATGGATGTTCTCCTTTGACACCACACCAAAACTAATCAACTGGTAGTCTCTTAAAGATGAGTTGCAATGTGGAATCTTCATCTTTATTAATGAACTTCTCATATTCTGTTACATTAAAATCTACTGTTTTATCTTGCTCTTTGAATGGATCATTTACCCATTAATGCTTTCATAACATCACATATTGGTCATGTGGAAAATACTGGTCCCCTGAGTTAAAATCTCACAAAAGACAGCTTTACCAGTTAATTCTGTAAATATTTAATGTAGAAATAATGCCAATTTTACTAAACTTTAGAATACAGAGCAAGAACATAACCCTAAACTTTCTGATACCAGCATAACCTTGATAACAAAACCCCGTAAGGATACTGCAAGAAAGGCAAGGCCAAGGCCAACTGACATACGAGTGTTAACATGAAAATCCTAAACAATGCTACCACACTCCACTGAGCAATGCAGGAAGAAGAAAACATCAAGACTAAATCGGAGCTTATTCCAGAAAGTCAAGGTTGGTTGAACATTAAAAAAAAAAAAAAAAATCAATGATATTCACTACCTTAACAGATTAAGAAAAAATACATAATCACCTCAATAGATGCAGATACAACATATCTGCAAATGGAAGAACAAACATAGCAAGAACTACAAATAAGAAAAAAGTCTAACACAGAGCTTTTAAAAAGCATGTTTAAAATTTTCAAAAAGAAGGACTAGATTTCGTAAGGAAGGAATATGTAAGTATGAAAAAGAATAAGCAAATTAAAAAAACTAACACTAAAAACTGAAAAGCAATCAACATTTATTTGTTATAAAAAGTTTTGCCTAACTAGGAATTCAGTGGAATTTCTTTTTACTAAAAAAGAATAGTATTGCTGATCTTTTTGTGAACATGGAAAATCTAATCAGATCTAAAGAAAAATTATTAGAATTAATAAGTGGGCTTAAGAAGTTCCTGGATACAAAGTTAATATGCAGAAATCTAGTATATTTTTATGTTTTGACAACAAAAAATTTTAAAAATTAATAAATACATTTTAAGATACCATTTACTGTAGAAATGGCTAATTGCAGGTCTCGGGCAAAAAATGTACAAACTGAGCCTTGATATATCTTGCCATGTAGTATTCTAGTTAATAAGAAATAACAGAAGTAGGACGTTATTATTTTGCAGCCCCTAAGGAAATAACCCATCTAGTCAATGATCACAGAAAGCTGCCTGCATGACAAAGACACAAGCAGACATTGTGCACCTCCTGAAAGAAGGACACACCACAGACTCTGAAGCATTCTTGCCAAGAAGTCAAACTTGAAGCTGATCAGGCCTCTAGATCAGATCTGTCCAAACAACTTTCCGTGACGATGGAAACATTCTTATCTGTGCTATCCAATTCACGGCTGTCCAGTTTGTGGCTACTGAGCACTGGAAATGTGGCTAGTGTGAATGACGAATTTAATTTAATTAATTTAAATTTAAACAGTCGTTTGTGGCCAGTGGCTTCTGTACTGGACAGCACAGCTCTAAATGTACCTATTCATAGGAATCACCGTGACAGAATAGATTAACAACGCTGTAGGGAAGCAATTAGAAAAATCCAGACATTGGGAAACTCTACAGAATAAATGACCTGGCTTCTTCAACAAATAATTTGGCTAGAAAAAAGGAGAAGAGCGAATAGATTAAAAGAGACTTTAGAGACAGATCAACCGATACATTGTATGAACTTTACTTGGATTCTAAATCAGGTGCAAACAATTTATGAATTTTATGAGACAACTGGATATCTGAACAGACTGGATTTGGTGACATTAAGAAGCTACCTTAATTGGAGAGAAAGGTGCAACTGCAATGAATCTCACAAACAAAACGTCAAGTGAAAGAAGCAAACCACAAATGAGCATCTACCACAGCAGACAAACCAAGTGCCGAGTTTAAGGAATCAGATTCAGGAGCAAATGAGGAAGACAGACAAGAAAACAGGCACCAGCCAGGGTCCTGGTCCCGTGTGCAGGGGAGCACAGGAAGAGCTGAGTTTCAGCCAGAAGGTTCTAGTTCCTAACGTAAAGGGAGGTTTCACGGGTATTCAGTTGATGATAATTCATTAAGCTGTACTTTTACATTTTCTGTATTTTTCTGCATGTGAATTCTGCTTCACAATTAAAGAGATAAATAAATAAATAAATACTGATGGTCACTAAGTTCTGCTCTGGCATTCTCCCCTTGGTCACACTGTGGAAAATGGTGAAAAATGGCCATAAGACCCAGGTATTTATTACATTTCTCATTACCTACTATATCATTTATTCAAAGACTTCATCATGGAATGACCAAGAAATATTAACTTTCTACGAAGAATCAGTTTGCTTTTTCATTTGGATAACGCAACTCATATAAATGTTCGCGTTTATTACAACTGCCAAAAATTTGAGAACCAGTTTGCAGCTCAAATTCAGTAATTATGGACACTATGGCTTACAAAAATTCAAACCTTAAGAACTTTCAAGGCCCTATAGTTAATATATCACTGCTCCAATTTTATCCCAATCTGGATCTTCCATTCTGAGGCTATTTTCCCCTGATTTCTTAACTTTTCTTACTTTGTTTCACTGGAAGACACAGACCACCTTCAATCCCCAGGAAAAATAATGAGGAACAAACAATCGACTCACCTGCAACATGGTCACGTTCTGCTGCCTACATGAGACGACTCGCAAGTCCGAGACGGGTCCTCTCCTGATGTGCTTCTGGTCTGAGGTCCTGGCTGGGTCTCTCACACTGAGAACGAAGTCCTGGTTCCAGGAGCTCCTTTCTTATCTCACATGAGCAGGCTTATTTGCAGGGAACCAGGATCTGTGGACTCAGGGACAAATGCACTTTAACTGGAATACTCACACTGCACCTAAAACCTTTTCCTCTCTTGACAGGGACTAGGAATTCCTGATCATCTAAGGCCAGAGTGTGTTTTCTAGATAACCGAAACAGGGCAAGTAGGGCAGCAACAGGCCACAGCATAAAGGAGCAGAAGTCTGCATCTCTGCAGACAGATACAGAAACATCAGAAACAAAGGAACTGTGAGATCATTCCACGCTCACTGTGGACACTGAAGTACAAACCTCTTTAACAGATGCTGTGAAGCACTAGACAATTCTACTTCAGGCAGATAGAATTTTGGAAAACTTACGTGATTTGTATTAAGACGGATCTGAGTTTCACTCGACCTTTTCCCTTTACTGGCTGTGTGTCTGGGCAAAAACAAACTAACTAACTTCATCTCTCTGAGCCTTCTTTTCCTATTAAAATCTTCTATAACCTTCCTAACTTATGCCTGCCAGTTCTAGCAATTTCTGAGGGAAGTGTGTTAAAATCTCCCAAGATGATACAGATTGGTCAATTTTTCCTCATAATCCTGCTGATGCCTGGATTATGTATTTGTGAAATGTACAGAGCTTACGTATTTCTGGAGAATTATTCTTTAACCATTAGATGATAACATTCCACATCTCAAATAACACTCCTTTCTTGCCTACTAATCTTCCATTTTTTTACCTGCCAAAACGGTGAAGATAAAGTGGACCTGTGGGTCCAACTGAACAGTCGGATTCTGAGGAATAAACGAGACTACTTCCTCGTGATGACAAGACCTGACACCTGAGTGCCTTCTACACGTCATACAAAATGCCACACACCCTGTAACGTAACCCTTACACATGACCCAGCAGGGCTCTGATCTCTCTGATAATCTGTTTTACAGAAAAACTGAGGCAAAGTGACATAGCTGTGCCCATGACTGCACAGCTATTAAAGAGCAGAACTGGAAGGTTATTTTTTTCTTGCTATGTTCAGGGCATTTGCCACCAAAATCATAACATCATTTGTGTGCATCTATGTACGTACACACACACTGACCACACAGCCTGCAATTAGCTGTCATTTCTATGTACACCTTCAGTCACCTTATTCCCACAGACACATACATCAACAGCCTGCTCATGCCCATATCATACTAAAAAGCAGCACTTAAAAAGCCAAGTTCTGCTCTTTCATTCTTTTCTGTGATTCAAACTTCAGTGCCAACTCAGAAAGACACACTGAGGTTTCTCCCAGTTACACAAGAGATGATTCCTCTATATATCAAAATATGAAAACATATGCATCTTAGGATAGGAGCTGGCACACAGCAGCACTAAAGAAATATTAGCCATAATTATCATTACAAAAGTAAAATCTGACAGCAAAATTTAGAAATGTATACATGCTAAATAAGAAACAACTGTTATCTATGATTATCACCACACCACAGATAACCATTCTTAAGAGATGATTGAAACTACATGGATATATATTTTTTTCTTGAGGAAGATTAGCCCTGAGCTAACTACTGCCAATCTTCCTCTTTTTGCTGAGGAAGACTGGCCCTGAGCTAACATCCGTGCCCACCTTCCTCTACTCTATACGTGGGACACCTACCACAGCACGGCTTTTGCCAAGTGGTGCCATGTCCGCACTCAGGATCCAAACTGGCGAACCCAGGGCCACCGAGAAGTGGAACGTGCGAACTTAACCGCTGCACCACCTAGCCAGCCCCTACATGGATATTTTTAACAAAAATATAAGGATATGGTCACATTTAACAAATGCTTTTGTTTTTTTTCCTAACTATGCAAAGACCATCTTTCCAGGTTAATAAACATAGTTCTATAATATCAACATCTTTCTTATATAAAATGATAAAAGGGTAGAAAATAAAGTCTTCTCATAACAGAAAAAAACACATAAAATATGCAGGAATATACTTGACAAGAAATATGAAAGATCCATATGAAACAAACTAAAAATACCAACGTGGGGGTCGGACCCCTGGCCAAGTGGTTAAGTTCTCACGCTCCACTTCGGCGGCCCAGGGTTTCGCCAGTTCAGATCCTGGGCATGGACGTGGCACCACTCATCAGGCCACAGTGAGGCAGCGTCCCACATGCCACAGCTAGGACCCCAACTAAAATATGCAACTATGTACTGGGGGGATTTGGGGAGAAGAAGGAAAAAAAAAGATGATTGGCAACAGATGTTAGCTCAGGGCCAATCTTACAGAGAAAGCCAACGGGAACTATGAAAATAGACTTCACACATGTACAGTCTGGTCTTGTTCTGGCATAGGAAGACTTCACACAGTAAAGATAATTTAGCCCCAAATGATTCATATCTTCAGTCAACTCCAATTACAATGTCAAAAAGTTTTTAACAAGCAATTCTAAAGTTTACCTAGAAGGAAAAAGTTTCAGAAACAGCTTGGACACTTTTGGAAATACAAAATGAGTATAAACAAATCCACATAATATTAACATATATTATAAAATTATAATAACCAAAAAAGCAGGGGCTGGCTCTGTGGCCGAGTGGTTAAGTTCGCGTGTTCCGCTGCAGCAGCCCAGGGTTTGGATCCTGGGTGTGGACATGGCACCGCTCATCAGGCCACGTTGAGGCGGCGTCCCACATCCCACAACTAGAAGGACATGCAACTAAGATATACAGCTGTGTACGAGGGGTTTGGGGAGATAAAGCAGAAAAAAAAAAAGATTAAAAGATTGGCAACAGTTGTTAGCCCAGGTGCCAATCTTTAAAAAAAAGAAAAAAAAGCAGAAAAGAGGGGCCAGCCCTGTGGCACAGTACTTAAGTCCAGCATGCTCCGCTTTAGCAGCCCAGGTTCATAGGTTCAGATCCCAGGCACAGACCTACACCACTCATCGAGCCATGCTGTGGTGGCGACCCACATACAAAATAGAGAAAGACTGGCACAGATGTTAGCTCAGGGCTAATCTTCCCCACCAAAAAAAAAGCAGAAAAGAGCTACAGATGAATAAAGCATAAAGGTGCAAAAACATAAGAATTTAGCGTGCAATATATGTGGCATTTCAACGCCATGAGTAAAACGGGACTACTTGATAATAAATAGAAGTGGTTAACACCTGAAAGAAAACAGAGCCAGTTGTCTATCTCATACATTACAACAAACTACTTTCAGATGGACTGGAATTTAAAATAATGGAGACCAAGACAATCCCTGAAGAAAACACAGGTGAGTATTTGTACAATTTTGGAAAGACTTTCCCTACATGGGATACAAAGGCAAAAGCCGTATTTGTTTTAAGAAACAGTCAATAAACTTAACCACTAGAAAATCTAAAAACCTCTGTGTGGTTAAAAAAAAAAATCATCACACATACACACACTACAAATGAGGAAAATATAACTACCACAAATACGTCATTTTCTTTGCATTATTTGCTTTCATTTCAGGTAATAAAAATTCCGGCATTGTGACAATAAAACTACGTTTATCATTCAAACCATTTCCTTAAGGAGATTGTAAAATCACTATTTCCTTCCTAATTCTGTCAGACGACGTGGTGAACTCGGTTGGGTTTCACACAGCACTTTTCGAGAGCAGAGACCCCTGTGTGAAACGAGGTCCATTTGCCGCAGCGAGGGCAGAGACGAGAGTTTCGGGGGAACGGGTATCGCGGGGTGTCACAGCCATCCGGGCAGTTTTAAAATCTGTCTCACGATGTTTAAATGTGTTACTTAGAACCACGCAGACTCGACCTTTTCCCGCTTTAATTTGCACAAATGTTTCTGAAAGCCGGCCCCGGAGGGAGAGGGCTCCCCTGAACCCCGGGCGTGTGGCCCTGCGCCCCAGCCCTTCCCCGACGGCCCGGCCGCCCCCCGCTCTGCCCCGGCGACACCGCGGCCCTCCCCGCCCTCAGGAGGTCCACTCAGCGTCAAGTCCTGCGGAAATGTCGGCGGACAGGCAGAGAATAAGGGATCATCCACACTTACTCTGTGCCAGAGGGTTTACACACCATGCTGTCTCTGACGCACTCAGCACCCACTACAGCGGCAGCACCGAGCACCGAGGTTCAGCAACGTGCCCAACACCGACGACACACCCAGAAAGTCCCACGCAGGGCGCCCCGGAGCCGGTGACCACAGCCCCGCAGGGCCCGGCTTCCGTTCCCAGCACAGGCGCCACACGGTGCCCGCGCGCAGACGGCGGCCCGGCGGACGGAGGATCAGAGCCACACGGTGCCCGCGCAGACGGCGGCCCGGCGGACGGAGGATCAGAGCCACACGGTGCCCGCGCGCAGACGGCGGCCCGGCGGACGGAGGATCAGAGCCACACGGTGCCCGCGCGCAGACGGCGGCCCGGCGGACGGAGGATCAGAGCCACACGGTGCCCGCGCAGACGGCGGCCCGGCGGACGGAGGATCAGAGCCACACGGTGCCCGCGCGCAGAGAGCGGCCCGGCGGACGGAGGATCAGAGCCACACGGTGCCCGCGCGCAGAGAGCGGCCCGGCGGACGGAGGATCACAGCCACACGGTGCCCGCGCGCAGAGAGCGGCCCGGCGGACGGAGGATCACAGCCACACGGTGCCCGCGCGCAGAGAGCGGCCCGGCGGACGGAGGATCAGAGCCACACGGTGCCCGCGCAGACGGCGGCCCGGCGGACGGAGGATCAGAGCCACACGGTGCACGCGCAGACGGCGGCCCGGCGGACGGAGGATCAGAGCCACACGGTGCCCGCGCGCAGACGGCGGCCCGGCGGACGGAGGATCAGAGCCACACGGTGCCCGCGCGCAGACGGCGGCCCGGCGGACGGAGGATCAGAGCGGGAGCGGGAAGCTCTCAGGGGCCAGGTGACGAAACTCCCCAGGTTAAGCTTCGGCTCCCCACGCGGGACGACACATTTCAAGGAAGGAGACTCATGACACGCTGTAACGGCTTAAGCACCATATGCAGCATAGTCCCAATTTTCTTTTCTTAAAGGAAATATAAATAAGATGGACCAAAAACACACCTGTTGACTTAAAGAAATGCCCCAAAATGCTGGCAGTGACTCTCTTGTTGACGGGATCACGAATGAGTTCCATTTGGATGTGTTTATCGAGATGCTCCAAACTGACTACAGTAAACACATTTTAAGTTGATAGGAAAACATACAAATATTCTTTAAAATGTTAAAGTCCTTAACTCAGGGAAACAACAGACAAGCAGAGCAGTTTCATTCCAGCACCACACGGCTCAAAGTAAACAATAAGTAATAATTAAAGTAGGTTGTTAATTATGCAAAAAAACACAAACCTAGGGAAAAAATACCACTCCTTGCCGCTGCCTCATTTTCAGATAAACCGTGAGGCCCAGGCACCGCGAGCCAGCTGTGCGGGGCGGCGGGGGCGGCTCACCGGCGCGGGCCCGGCCGCCCGTCCCGTCCGGAGCTTCTGGGGCCGGGTTTAGCCGAGAAGCCGCTGGGAGCCGCCGCGGGCAAAGGCCGAGCCGGGCGCCGCGGGCCCCGCGCCCGCCGCAGCCTCCCCGCCGCTCCGCCTGGGGCCCCGCGGCCGCTCGCGGCGGCTCCTTCCGCGCAGCCGTGGCGCCCGGGCCCGCGCGGGGCTCCCGGCCGACGACATCCAGCGGCGCCGGGCGGGGCAGCGCCTGCGCTCCGACCTGGAAGGGAGCACCCGCGGTGAGCGCCGCGCCGCCCCGACCCCCGCCCCGGCCGCTGACGCCCACAGCCCCGCACGACCCCGCGTGCCCCGGGGACCCACACGCCCCCAGCCGCCGGCCGCCAGGAACCCCCAGCCCGCAAAGGCGCCCACACCGACCCCAGGCCTCCGCCGTGGGACGCGCCGCACCGGGAACCACGTGCCCCCCCCCGCCGCCGGGGGCGGGGGTCCGCGCGCACACACGGGCACGCGCACACTCGCCTCTCGCGTGGCGGCGAGGGACAAAGAGCAGGGCGCAACCCGAAAGCGTCGGTGGCTGTGTGAGTGCGCTTGCGCGAGAGGAGGGCGCCGCCGAACTACATTTCCCAGGAGGCTCCGCGGCATGTCGGCCTCCCGGTGTCCTAGGAACGCTGGTTGCCTAGAGACGCGAGGATGGCTGCCAGCCCAGGGGCGATTTACAGGTACGCGCCTTTGGGAGAAAGGTAGAGGATTCTGGTTTTTAAAGACTAGGAATCCAAATCCATCAGTACGTTAAAAAAAAAAAAGACAATTGGCTTAAGAATCCAATTGAGGAAACCACAAAACAATTTTTAATACGTTATCGAAAGCAGATAGGAATTAATCAACAGCAAAAAGTAAAACTGATCCGGAATTCAACTGCTGCGGGGTAAAGTTGTAAATAAGTCACTATCCTTAAAGAAAAAAAAAAAGAGAGTAGGGTAGGATGAAAAAATTTTCAAACAGAGAATTCTTATGTTTAAATAGTTCCAGAGGAATTGGAAGAAGGAAACTTTCTATTTATTAAGTTGCCATCATAAAGACACCAAAATCGACAAATGTGTGATTTGAAAAGGATGCTCAGACAAAACTTGATTGTGACTACACATGCAAAAATACTGAGAAACTAACAGAGAGAAGCTGGCAATACCTTACAGAAATACACTATAACCAAGTGGATTCTATTCTAGAAATATAAGGATGATCAGGATATCCGTTAATATTACCATATCAATAAGTATAAGGGAAAAATATAGTCAATAAGATGAAAAGAAAATTTTAAACTTAAAAATACATCCTAGATTTTAAAAAATAATAATAAATTAGAAAACTTTGTATGCTACTTTAACGTGATGAAAATATAGACTTGAACCGGAAAGTTAGTATGCTGCTTAATGGTGGAACATTATGAGGACTTAGGAGCAAGATATAGATACCCAAGCTAAGATTTTAAAACTTGGACTAATATTTGAACTGCAGAACATACAAATAATGTGTTTCATTGATCACTGCAGAAGTATACACATTTCTACACCATTTGGGGGTTTTATTCCATAAATTGTCAGTTATTGCCTGCCTATTTTTCTATTGGGTTATCTTTTTCTACTACATTCATGGAGTTGAATGCAATTGTGTACGAATCCTCAATATGCAATACATGTTTTAATTTTTTTCTGTCTGCTCCTTGTCTTTGAACTTTGTTTATAAAATTGTTGGTCCCTTAGATTTTAGTTTTGACATTATAAAATCTATCTAGCTTTTCCTTTATGGCTTCCTTATGTGTCTTAAGAAATCTTTCTCCATCCTGATATTATACAATATTTCCTTGTATCATCTTCTAATAGTTTAGGCATTTTGCTTCAACATTTAAGTTTTAATCTATCTGGAGTTGTGTGTATGCAGGTAGTGTGAGACATTGATCTAATTTCCTTTTGTTTCCATATGGGAAGCCAATTTCCTAATCTCAAGTATATTAGTTTGCTAGGGCTGCCATAACAAAATGCCACAGACTGGGTAGGGTAAACAATAGAAATTTGTCATAATTCTGGAGACTGGAAGTCCAAGATCAGGGTGTTGGCCGAGTCGGTTTCTTCTGAGGCCTCTCTCCTTGGAATGTAGACGCCGTCTTCTCCTTGTGTCCTCACATGGCCATCCTTCTGTGCATGTCTGTGTCCTCATCTCCTCTTCTTATAAGGACACCAGTCATTTTGAATTGGGGCTATCCATGACCTTATTTTACTTTAATTACCTCTTTAAAGTCCCTATCTCCAAATACAGTCACATCCTGAGGTGCTAGGGGTTAGGACTTCCAACATGTGAATTTGGAGGGGGACACAAGTCAGCCACCAAGTATCAAATGGCCCAATGTTTGTAAATTAACTTCTTTTATATCTGAAGTTCCTCTATGTGCAAGGGTCCCTTTCTGGAATCTTTTCTGTTCCATTGACCTATTAGTCTATCGCTGTATGAATACCACATTGCTTTATTATTCTAGCTTAATAAAAACCTCTTGTGGGGCCCGCCAGGTGGCGCAGCAGTTAAGTTTGCACGTTCCGCTTTTGTGGCCCGGGATTCGCCGGTTTGGATCCCGGGTGCGGACACGGCACCACTTGTCAAGCCATGCTGTGGCAGGCGTCCCACATATAAAGTAGAGGAAGATGGGCACAGATCGTTAACTCAGGGCCAGTCTTCCTCAGCAAAAAGAGGAGGATTGGCAGCAATTAGCTCAGGGCTAATCTTCTTCAAAAAAACCCCTCTTGTATCTAGAAGGGAAACCTCCCCTAATTGTTGTGTTTGTTCATTATTGTCTTGGATAGTTTGAGACCTGTAAACTTTCATGTAAATGTTAGAATCTGTATGTCACATTTCAAGAAAAAATTCTTTTATTGTTTTGATCAGAACCATATTAAATTTATATTTTGTAAGAATCATTTTTAGTATATTGACTACTCCATCAATATTGTATATCTTTCAATTTTTCAGTTCTTTTATGAACTTTGATAGCATTTTATTTTATTCCTAAATTCTGTTTATATAACTTTTTAAAAGATTTATTCCTAGCTAGCTCTCATTTTAAATTCCATATTGTACAGTATAATATGTATTCCTTAGTAGCTTATCATTTTTATTGATATTATGAAGAAGAGGGTTTTTTTCCTAGTATATTTTCTTGCTGACTGTTAATTGTGCTATGGACTGAATGTTTGTGTCCCTCCAAAATTCATATGTTGAAATCCTAACGCCCAGTGTGGCTATATTTGGAAGTGGGGTGTCTAAGGAAATTAAGGTTAAATGAGGTCATCATGTGGAGGCCCTAATCCGGTAGGATCTGTGTCCTTATAAGAAGAGACACCAGGGAACTCAATCGCTCCCTCCAGGGGCACACAAGGAAAGGCCGTGTGAGGACATAGCAATATGGTGGCTATCTACAAGCCAGGAAGAGAGCTCTCGCCAGAAACTGACCATGCTGGCTCTTTGATCTTGGACTTCCAGCCTCCAGAACTGTGGGAAAATAAATTTCTGTTGTTTAAGGCATCCAGTCTGTGGTATTTTGTTACTGCAGCCAGAGCAGACTAAGACAGATGGGGTCTAGGAACAGCATTGATTTGTGTCTAGCAACAGTGCTAAAATCCTTTCCAGATCTTGCCTCTAACAACCACAATTATCCTTCTTTACTTCCAGTCCATGTAACACTTGCTCTTCATTTCTTATCTTACTGCATTGATTAGGGTGTCAGTTCCATGCTTAGTAGTATGAGAACTAGAGGGGTCACCTCAGTAGTTCCTGACTTTAGCTATGATGTTTCTAAAGTCTTACTGGAAGTATGATGTCTGCTGTGGGGGTTGGTAGCTATCCTTTATTACCTTAAAAGGAAATCAGCTTCCATTCTGAGTTCATTAAGGATTTTATCACAAGGAATTGCTTAATTAATTAATTAATTAATATGATGAATATTTTTTAATGAACTCTAATATTGAATTATCTTGGACATATTATTTACTTATAGGGTTGAACAGTATGAAATTATCCTTTTGCGGGTTGGTCCACTTGCTCTTCTACATAGTAGATCACTTCAACATTTCATGGCTATTTAGATCTCAGTTTCCTGGTTCAGCTAGGCAGTCGTGTCTCTCAGGCAGCTGCAGTCAGCTGGCGGCTGGATTTGGAACAGCGGGGTGGGGCTGGGACACGTGGCTGGTGGGGGCATCTCTCGGTATTCCATGTCTCAGGCCTCTTCGTGTGAGCTGTCTGGACTTCGTCACAGCAGGCCAGCCTCAGGGCAGTTGGACAGCTGACCTGGCAGCTGAGTCTTCACTGCTGAGCATTCATTTGAGCGAGGTGGAAGCTGCAGCTCCTTTGATGACCGTGCCTTGGGAACCACACAGCTTCATTTCTGCTGCATCCCGCCAGCTATGAGCAATTCTCCAGCCCATCTGGATTCAAGGAGCAGGGGGCATAGACCTCCCTTCCCAGTGGGCGGAATGGCACAGTCACATTGTCATATTGTCGAAGAGGATGCTGCGTAGGAAATATTGTTGCAGCCATCTTTGGGAAACAGCTTACCACAGCCTGCCTCTCTGGCTTTAACAGTTCACATCTGTAAGCTATACTCATCTCCTCCAAGACCCCAATGTCTCACCAATCATGGCAGCAGGTTGAAGTCCAGGACCTCATCACCTAAATCAGCTACTGCCGCACCAGAGGCTCTTTGGGACTGCTCCCTAGGGTGCAGCTCCTTAGGTGCTACTCCTCTCAGTCTGAAGACCTGCGAACTAAAGGACAAGTTATTGTCATCTTACACACCCAAAATATAATAGTGGGGCAGACATAGGAAATCTGCTCCCATTCAAAACCGGGGACAACAGGAGTCCCCACAAGGCAGCCACGGGCCCATAGAAATTCCTAAGTCCTGCTGGGTCCGTGTAGGGTTCACTCCTGCTCACTTGGAGTTCAGAGCTCTTGGCTGCACCCTCTGTGTCTAAGCCTGCCTTCCTTCCTTATGCATAAAAATGACCCATGTTTGCAAGTGAGTATCCTTCTCAGCCCCCTTCCTGCCCCAAAAAGGCTGTGAGTCCAAAGATCTCTTTTTATTTTGGACAGGTTGATAGGGCTGTTTTAAAAACTTTGTGGCATCTGTGCATGTATTTATACTATCTTTCTGTTTATAATTAGCTTTTGTTTTTTCCACTTTTTGCCGTGAGTCCTCCAATTAACCCATACTTCTACCATAATTTTGTCCGGTATTTTTCTTTCTACTCAAACACTTTCCAATTTCACCATTTTTCTTTATTAGCCACTCATGTTAGCCCCTTAGTTAGCATCTCTGCAACCTCAAGAAATGGAAAATATTCTTGGGAATTGAGGTTGTCATGAAGTTTTCTTCAAAATGATTCTCCGCCCGGGTCTGCAATTGAGTTCTTGGAACTTACCGACTGACTCCATGGCCCACCTCACTGAGGGCTTGTTGATTGACCTCTATTCTTAAAGAGGTAAGCTCCCAATTTTCTGTTCTGAGAGTATTTTGGTAGAGAAGGAGTTTGGTAGTTGTACATATGTGTTGTTGGGGGATACATAGGAAATGAGAAAAAAAAACCTTGTGGGTTTTTATGTATCAATTAGGCAAAAGCCACATCCCCCCGAAATCTCTTGGAGATTAAGACTCTGTCTGCCTTGGGCTCTCTGTGGGCTTTCCGTGAGAGCACAGCCTGAAGACTCTTAGCAGCTCTATTAGGAGAGAGGGTCCACAGAGGTATTCCCCTGAGATCCTTAGGAGGCTTTTTTTGGGGGTCTGAAGGGGTTCATGAGGCACCCCCTTAGATCCTTCTGAAATCTTACCTCAGGACATTATAGTCCCTGAGGAACTTCTTACTTTGAGAACTTTTACTAGCTGAAAAGACTGTTCTGGGCCATTTCACATTTCCTCCAGGGAATGGTTCATTTTTCAGTTCTTCTCTCCCTCTCTCGTTTTATTGTAATTAGTGAGAAGAGGCCAGGTAGCACCTGGACGCTGTGCCTAGGAAACTCTTAGCTGGACTATTGGAGGGCATTAGGTACATTTTCTATTTTCCATTTACATTAGGTGACAGTATTGAGCAACTTTCTGCCACCACATAACAAAGTCCCCTTCTCTCCATGTTCCCATAACACTATCCTCATGTTCCTTCAAGCCCTCAACAGCAACTTCCTTGATGACCTTAGGGTCTACTAATACCCTCCCTAAGGGCCCTGCAGGCTTTCACTCATGTTTTCCTCAAGAGACGAGCCAGTGCCAAAGCCAGTGGCACATGTTTTAAGACTTTGTTACAGTAGCACTCCACTTCCAATACCAGATTTCTGTTACAATTACTGTTGCTGCCTATAATATCACCCCAAAACTCTATAGTGTATGGAACAAAGATGTTACTGTCTCTCATGGTTTCTGTTGGTCAGGAATTCAGGGAAGGTCTGGCTGGCAGTGCTGGTGCAGGAGCTCTCATGCCATTGCTGTCCGTCAGCTGCTGGAGCTAGAGAGTGTGGCATTGGGACATATGGGGCGGATGGTCTCTCTTTCTCTGCAGGTAGCCTCAGAGCCTCGCTAGGTGTTTAGATGGACTCTGAGGTTTCCTCCTAGCACCACAGCCCGAGGGGACTGCTCACATGGTAGCCAAAAGCTTCAAGAACAAGTACTCCAGCGAGGAAAGCGGAAGCGGCATTGCCTTTCGCGGTGTGGGAAGCCACGAGGCAGCACTTCCATCATTGTCTTCCGCTACAGGCGAGTCTGCGGCCAACAAGACTCGCAATGGGAGGAGTGGCACAGCCACGCTGTAGAAGAGGATGTGAGATGGAAAAGAAAACTTGCCACATGTCAAAAATGGTCCCTTATTGGTAATTTCATATAGTTCAGCCTAATACAGACATGTATGAATGGGTGGAGAAAGAAACCTGGATTCCATTTTATTCAGAAAATTTTCATCTATTAGATTGACCTATAATTATTTTTTTCCCTACTGTCTCCAGATTTGCTTGCGAAGATTATACCAGGATTGTAAAATGAATTTTGGAGTAATCTATCCTTTCAAAATTATTGTAACACTGTTTGTATAACATAGTGATGATCAAGTCCTTCCATGTTTGGTGAAATTTTACTGCTCAATAATCTAGGCTTGCTACATTTCATGAAGGTAAGTTTTTGACTCCAGTTCAATTTCCTTGTTTGTTACTGATTTATTCAGTCTTGCTTTTTCTGCTTGCTCAATTTTGGTAAGGTATAAATTGCAAGGAAATTGCAAGATTTTATCTAAATTTTCATATGTAGTGGTACATGGTTATCCGTAGTATTCTCCTATAATTAAAAAAATCTGGGGCTGGCCCGGTGGCACAGTGGTTAAGTTCACACATTCTGCTTCAGCGGCCCGAGGTTCACTGGTTTGGATCCCAGGCACAAACCTACGCACCACTTGTCAAGCCATGCTGTGGCAGGCATCCCACATATAAAGTAGAGGAAGATGAGCACAGATGTTAGCTCAGGGTCAGTCTTCCTCAGCAAAAAGAGGAGGATTGGCGGCAAATGTTAGCTCAGGGCTAATCTTCCTCGAAAAAAATCTAATTATCTGCATTTATGTCCCCCTTTCATCTAACATTAGTAACAAGTACTTTCTCATGAGTGTTCACGAGTCTGTCACGAGAAGACTACAAATAACTTGCCGCGTGTCCACTGCTCCTCCTATCCAACCCCTCGCCTCCTCCGCAGAGACGTTCTCCTGAGTATGTTGATCATCCTCTGGTTTTTTGCTTCATTGTTTTATCACATACACATGTATGCCTAATTAATATGTAATCCCATTTTATTGTGGCCTTTAACAATGGTATTATGTTATAGGCAGCCTTCTGAAAATGACTTATCACTCAGTGTTAGGTATCTAGGACCTAGACATGTTGTTGTTTATTCAATTGTAGTTTATTTCATAGATGCATAATATTCCATTGACTCTATATTATAGTTTATTCATTCTCCTTTTACATCTTTATTAGATTTATTTTGTTTTGTTTTTTTGCAATAATTACAAATTCACCTGCAGTGTAAAAAGTAATAGAAAGAAATTCCTTATACACTTTGCCCAGTTTACCCCAATGTTTAACATTTTGCAAAACTATAGTATAATATCACAGGCAGAATATTGACATTGATACAATTCACAATATTTATTAAGATTTCCCCAGTTTTACTTACACTCACCTGTGTGTTTGTGTGTGTATTAAGTTCTATTCAATGTTATCTATGTAGAGGTTCATGTATCAACAACCACAGTAAACATACTGAACAGTTCCAACACTACAAGACGACTTATTTTTTTTATATTTTGCACTTTGATACTTTTGAAAATGGATTCATTTTACTAAATCCCAATTTATAAAGTTTTTCTGAGGTGTTTAGATATAGAATTGACTTGGATATATTGACCTGACATCCAATGACCTTGCTAAATTCATTTTTTTTCTCTTTTCCTTTTTTTTTTGGGGTGAGGAAGATTGGCCCTGAGCTAACATCTGTTGCCAATCTTCCTCCACTTTGCACGTGGGATGCGACCACAGCATGGCTTGATGAGCAGTGCATAGGTCTGCGCCCAGGACCCAAACCCACAAACCCTGGACCCCGGAGAGGGAGTGCCCAACCTAACCACTATGCCGCAGGGCCAGCCTCCATTTTTTCTTTTTAACTATTTTATTTAGAAATGATTTCATACTACTGAAAAGTTGAAAAAATAGTACAGAAATACAGAATTTATAGAATAGTAAAGAATTCCTAATATCTTTTACCTACCTTCCCCAAATGTTAACATGGTACCATGTCTGCTTTCTCGATACGAGAACTTATTTTTCTTGAAAGGTAGGAGCATGAGTTGCAGACGTAACTCCTCTGCGCTCCCAGACACTTCAGCAAGTATCTCTACGAGGTCATTCTATTCTGTAAACACAGTCAAGTGATCAAATTGAGGAAATTAACATAAATGCAGTAGAACTGATTCACATTCCATCAGTTGTCCTGTTAATGTCCAAGAAACAAACTTTGGGTTCAGTATCCAATATTGTATATCTTTAGCTGCCTTTAAACTGAAACACTCTTTCAGTCTTTGTCTTTCGTGACCTCATTTTAAAAAGTGCCATTTCCATGCCGAATGCCCCTCAACTGTGCTCGTTAGATGTTTCCTCATGAGTTAGATTCAGGTTATGCATTTTTGGCAGGAATACCACAGGAGTGATGTTGTGTCCTTCTCAGAGAATCAGATCAAGAGTCTCATATTTGTTTCTACCAATAAAGGCAACATTAATTTTGATTGCTTAACTGAGGAGGTAAATGCCAGATTTCTCTTTTGTAAAGTTATTATTTTTCCAACTGTATTAATAAGTATCTTGTGGGCAGATGTTTTGACACTAAGGAAATATTCTCTCATAAAACTTTCACCCACCTAATTTTAGCATTCATAGATGATTCTTGCCTAAAACAAGTATTACTGTGCTGGTACCAACTGGTGATTTTCTGTCATTTCCTGTGGTATTTACTAAGTGATATTCTACTTTAGAGTTTTCCTTTCTTTCCTACTTGTTTATACATTTAAATATTTATCTCAATATGGATACATGGATTCTTATTTTGTTCTTTGGGTTATAACCTGTTGTCATTATTTGGATGCTCAAACTGTCCCAGGTTTGGCCAGCATCTTCAAGCTGGCTGTGGTGTCCTTTTGACAAGACCCCATCATTAAATTTTTGAGGCTTGTTCTATGGCCTAGCATTTGGTCTATGTGTATAGTATTCCATGTGCACTTGAGAAGAATGTACATTCCACTGTAACTGGTGGGAGTGCTCCATACATGTCTGTCAGGTTCACTTGGTTTACACTGTTGTTCAAGTTGTCTATTTCCTTATTTTTTTTAAGATTTTATTTTTCCTTTTTCTCCCCAAAGCCCCCCCCCGTACATAGTTGTGTATTTTTAGTTGTGGGTCCTTCCAGTTGTGGCATGTGGGTTGCCGCCTCACGGTGCCATGTCCGCACCCAGGATCCGAACCGGTGAAACCCTGGGCCGCGGAAGTGGAGTGCAGGAGCTTAACCACTCGGCCATGGGGCTGGCCCCTCCTTATTAATTTTTATAGGTTGAACTGTATCCCCCCAAAAGAGATATGTTGAAGTCCTAACCCCCACTTCAGAATGTGACCTTATTTAGAGGTAGGGTCTTTACAGAGATAATCATGTTCAAAGGAGGTCCTTAGTGTGGGCCTTAAGCCAATGACCAGTATCCTTATAAAAAAGGAGAAATTTGGATGCAAAAATAGACACATATAGGGAAGGAATGATGTGAAAAGACAAAGGGAAAAGATGGCTATCTACAAGCCAAAGAGAGAGGTCCAGAACAGATTCTTCCCTCACAGTTCTCAGAAGGAATCAACCCTGCTGGCACCCTGATCTCAAACTTGTAGCCTCTAGAACCATGAGACAATAAATTCCTGTCGTTTAAGCCATTCATTTTGTGGTACTTTGTAATGGCAGCCCTAGCAAATGAATAAAGACTTTGGTACTGGAAAATAGGGTGCTGCTGTAGCAAATACCTAAAAATGTGGACGTGGCTTTGGAATTTGTAGAATATAGAAGAGTTTTGAGGAGCTTTATAGAAAAAGACCAGATTACCTAGAAGAAAACTGTCGGTAGAAATACGAATGTTAAAAATACTTCTGGTGAGGTGTCAGATAAAAACGAGGAACATATTACTGGAAACTGGAGGAAAGGGGGTCTTTGTAATAAAGTGGCAGACATCTTGGCTGAATTGCATTCTAGTGTTTCGCAGAAAGTAGAATTTAGAAATAAGGAACTGGGAACTTAGCTGAGGGGATTTCTAAGCAAAGTGCTGAAGGCATGGCCTGACCTCTCCTTTCTGCTAATAGTAAAACGCAAGAGGAGAGAGATAAATTGAAGAATGAGTGTTAAACATAAAGGAAGCAGTTCTTGAAGATTTGGAAGACTCTCAGCCTATTCATATTGCCAAAAATGAAAAAGCATGCTGTGGAGAGAATACCTAGAGTGTGGCCGGACAATGTTTGCTAAAGAGCTGAGGTGTGTGACTTGTGAATCCAACTATCTCAGCAGAAATGCCACCAACTTGGACTGAAGGGGACAGAGAAGGGCTGAAATGAAGGAATGTTGTTGGACTTCTTGGATTCTATAGGCAGGAAATGGGCTGATAGAGCTAGCTAGCTGTGAACATGGGTTGTCCTTAAGAAAAGGGAAGAATGACCCTGATGGCAGGAACACTTCTTTGGTTCCAGAGGGTGAAGCCACCTTTTCAATTCCAGAGGCCTTGTCCACCACTCAGGGATGAGGGGGCAGGGCCACCAGCCCAGTGGGCTCAAAGGACAGAGCATTTAGCCAAAGAGTATTATTCTCAAGCCTTAAAATCTCATGGAATTTGCCCTGCTTGGTTTTGTACTTGCTTGGGACTCCACATCCTTTTTCCTGACTTTTCCCTCTGGAATGGGAATATCTATCCTATGCCTGTCTGCTCATTGTATTTTGGAAGCAGGTAATTTGCTGTCTAGCTTCACGGGTTCACAGATGAAAGGAATATTGCCCCAGGCTGAACCATACCCAAGTCTCACCCATAAGCTGACTTACATGATATCTTGGACAGAGTTCATGCTGGAATAGATTGAACTTTTGGGGGATGTGGGCTGAGGTGAATAATTTGCAGGTGGAAAGAACATAAATGGGGGGCGGGGGGGAAGAGGGCAGACCGTGATGGGTTGAATTCTGTCCTTTCAAAAAAGGTACATTGGATTCCTAACCCCCAGCACCTCAGAATGTGAAGTTAATTAGACACAGGGTCTTTACAGGGATAATGAAGTTGACATTAGATCATTAGGGTGAGAACTAGGCCAGTGTGACTGGTGCCCTTACAAAAAGAGGAAATCTGGACAGAGAGCTGGTGACAATGAGGCATGGGGTATAGGTAGAATAAGCTTCCTCCTGCTGTCTCAGAGAAGGGAAGGGGCCCTACCTCAGGAGTCGGCAGGTTTTGTGGGTAATACAGTGTCTGCCACAACAATTCAATGCTGCCAGGACAGTGCAAAAGCAGCCACACAACACAGAAATGATGCATCGGGCTATGTCCCAGTAAACCTTGATTTATGGGCACTGAAATTTGCATTTCAAATAATTTTCTCATTTCATGAAACAGTTTTGATCTTTTTTCAACCATTTAAAAATGTAAAAGTTTCTTAGCTTGCCATCCATACAAATATAGGCAGCAAGCTGTATTTGGTCTGAGGGCTGTAGTTTGCCAACATCTAGTCTATATCAGTAAGTGAAGAGCATACAGTGCATAATGTATCAGGAGTTTGCCAGGCTGAGTTCTCCGATACCTCTCAGATATCTCTACTTGAATTATTGAGAGATTTTCTAAACCAAAGCATGTTTACATAAGGGATAGTGAGCATTCGAAGTGGACGACTTTTTAATTTGGCAAGCCATATATGTATTTGATTTCCACCATCTCAACCCTGCAGCTATGAGTGAGCAATTATTTCAGCAATGTTTAATACTCTGCCTTGAGATGAGATCTCAGGGCTTCAAGTCTGTCATTGTTGTGTTTAAGAGCTAATGTGACCAGAAGGAGCCATCTCATTTCCTGTCCCAGATTTCCTCATAAATTTAAAACTCTTCTATGGTAACAATTCTTCAGTGTTCCCAGAATCTGATCATCAGGGGCCACAAGGTTCTTGGTGTACACAGACAATAATGCTATTTCATACTATGGGCTAAAAAGTTCCCATCTTGGAATATAAACAAGAATCTGAGAGCCAGCCCTGATGGCCTAGCAGTTAAAGTTTGGCACACTCTGCTTCAGCAGCCTGGGTTTGCTTCCCAGACGTGGAACCACACCACTTGTCTGTCAGTAGCCACGTTGTGGCAGCAGCTCACATAGAGAACTAGAAGAGTTTACAACTATATACAACGATGTACTGAGTCTTTGCGGGGGCGGGGGGGGGGGGTTGGTTGTCAACAGCTGTTAGCTTAGGGCAAATCTTCCCCTGCAAAAACACACAAAAATAAACAAATGAAAGACTCTGAAACATTTCCTCGTCTCAGGAAAAAACATAGACCACATAGATTTTCTCTAACAGTTTGTCACCTACACACTACTCCAGAGCAATAATTATCAATTAAAGCCCTTCAGTTACAAGAAATAGAAACTCATTCTTCTTAACTTCAACAGGAAAAAAAATTTTTATTGAAAAGGTATGAGGAAGCACACAGAAGGCCAGAAAACCAGGTTAAAAAATGGACAGTATCCAGAGTTATTCTGGAAAGTCAACACAGCAGGAACTAACTGCTGGTCTCAGTCGAATTCTGGGACAAGAATATGTGAGTTTCCAACTTCCCTTCTGCTTCATGTGAAATGAATTAGAGACTCCAAGTCCTGGAAAAGAGGCTGCCACTACCCAACAACGGGCACGATGCTCACCTGTGGCTAGTGGAGAGCACCCTGAAAGACACTGCCAAAGGACGCACACCAGAGTGGAGGTGCTTCTCCAGGAAGGCTAGGGTGCTCCTATCAATCTATGGAGAACAGACCCTGAACTGCTAGGAGACAAACATACATTGCACTTTCTCTTAAGTGGCAGTTCTGCAATAAGTGCCGACCCACTTACATAGATGACTAGATAGATAAACTCACTTGGAGTGAGAACCGTATCCTTTCATTTACTAAAAGCCACATTTTACTTACATTGCTAAGAAATGAAGAGACAATACTGATATTTAGCATTTAATATGGAGAATATTAGGGGATGTTATTCCACAAACTATCAAATATATGTATAACAAGTTATATTAAAAAATAAAATCCCAAAATTTTAAAAAATGCTATCCAGTATTACTCAGGAAAGTCATACTAAATATCCCTTAACCTTCAGGATATGTTCCTTGCTGTTTTCCTGACCATTACTTTATTTACATATTAAAATAAAAAGCAACTTTATACTCTACCATGAAAAAGTCTACGATTTGTAACTGAGATTTTCTTCACTCTAGAACAGCTTCAAATCTGGAATGTGACTCTCCACATAACACATTTTCTATGGGAAAATGCTTTCCCGATTTATTAAATTTATAAGGTGTTCTCTGTATGAATTCTCCAAATTAAATCTTCATAGTAATGCTACTACATTTGATAGTCATTGCTCCTCATTCCTTCAATTATTCTCGTCTATAAAGATTTGTGTGACTTCCTTCTGAAAGCTTTTGCCCATTCATTCCAAGTGACTGGTCTCTCTCCTCTATGACTTATTTGACATGAGTGTATTCCTAGGACTTCCTGCTTACACATCCTGTCTACGCTATCATCGCAAGTCTCCTGAGGATCAACCTCTGTGAGAATGTTTCTGGCATCTACTTCATTCTCATTTCTCACTGGTGAGTTTTTCGATGTATACGAAGCCCTGAATTCCAACAGAAGGATTTCCCACACTCAGAGCACTTCCACGGCTTCTCTCCCGTGTGAACTCTCTGGTGTTCACTGAGAGATGACTTCTGGGTGAAGGCTTTCCCGCACTCACTGCATTTGAAAGGTTTCTCTCCGGAATGAGTCTTCTGGTGTATCTGAAGCGACGCCTTCCTGGGATATGCTTTCTCGCACTCACTGCACTCATAGGGCTTCTCTGTCGAGTGGGTTCTCTGATGTATAATTAGCTGTGACTTCCCACAAAAGGCTCTCTCACAGAAGCTACATTCGTAGGGTCTCTCTCCTGTGTGCGTTCTCCTGTGTATCACGAGGTAGGACTTGCTGCTGAAGGCCTTGCCACATTCACTGCACCCATAGGGCTTCTCTCCCGCGTGAGCTCTCAGATGCGCAGTGAGCTGTTCCTTCCTACCAAAGGCTTTCCCGCATTCACTGCATTGGTAAGGATTATTTCCTGTGTGAATTCCCTGATGTACAACAAGTTGTGTCTTCATATTGAAGGCTTTCCCACAATCACTGCACTGATAGGGTTTCTCTCCTGTGTGCATTCTGATATGAACAAGGAGGTATGACTTACTCCTAAAGGCTTTCCCACATTCACTGCATTTATGGGGTTTTACTCCTGTATGAGTTCTCTGGTGTACGACGAATGGTGACTTCAAACTAAAGGCTTTCCCACATTCGCTACATTCGTAGGGTTTCACTCCTGTATGACTTCTCTGGTGTAAAATAAGCTGTGATTTCCAGCTGTAGGCTTTCCCACATTCACTGCAACCATAAGGTTTCCCTCCCGTGTGAACTTCCTGATGGACAATGAGCTGTGACCTGAAAGAGAAGACTTTCCCACATTCGCTACATGAGTAGGGCTTTTCTCCTGTATGAACTCTCTGATGAGCATTAAGGTTTGACTTGGCACTGAAGGCTCTTTCACATTTAGTACATTCATAAGGTCTCTCTCCTGTATGAATTCTGAGATGCACGATGAGCTGTGATTTACAACGAAAAGCTTTCCCACATTCACTACATACACAGTTTTTTTCTATACTATGAGCTCTTTGATGCTTAAGAAAATATGATGCTTCATATCCATGAAACTCATTAGGATTCTTTCTTAGATAGCTTCTGATTGAACCTGAGTTCTGTGTGAAACTTCTTCCATGTGTGTTATACTTATGGAGTCTTGGTCTTGAAGAAACATGGGTTTTGCTCAGATGAAGTTTCCCAAATGCATTACAAGCATGACTTCTCTCAACACGTTCAAGCTCATCCTGATTTTTCTGGTACCATTCTTTCCAACCTTCTAGGGAAAAAAACACGGCATTTTTAAAATCACAGTATGAACCTGACATGGAATTAAACAGCTTTAGAACTGCCGCATAATGAGTCTTTTTATTTTGGTAACAGGCCTCTGGCGCTAGCTCAAAAGGAATCCTGGCCAAGTGTACACACGCCACATACCTAAGCACGGGGGAGAGAAGTGACTCCAACTAGACCAAGGCCCATGATGGAGATGGGAAGCGAATTGGCAGCGATCAAAAATGATTTTTAAAAGAGAGGTTTAAAAAATTTAGCCTGCGCTGAGGAGCCAATGCCAATTATTTTATGTCTGAATTTCATCACTGCAGGAGTTTACTCAAAAAGTGAACTCACAGGATAGAGAATAACTAGGGTATACAATGAGATGCTGACAAGACTCAGTGAGCCACAGGAAAGTTACGGATAAGAGCCTTCCAAGCAGGAGGAGGAGCAGGAGCCTGCTTGTCATGGTTAGGAATGAGAAAAACGGCCAGGACAGCTCACACCCACTGAGTGAACAGAGAGAAGGCAGGAGCCAAATGAAGCAAGGCCATGGGAAAAGCTCTCTCACCCGAAGGATTTTAACTAGAGGATACCTCGATCCATCTTGTGCTTTTAAAAGATCAGTTTGGCTGTCACGCAACAACTGAACAAGACATGGGCAGAGACCGTGAGAAAGCCACCAGAGCAGTCCAGGGTGACAGGACAGTGGTCTGGACTAGACGTCCGGAGCTGAGACAACGCAGAACATGCTTGGAGAGAGAACTGAGAAAGTTTCCTAAGGGATTGGATGTGGAGCTGATGGGAGATTTAACAACTCTGAGATTTCAGACTTGACAAACAGGTGGTGCTGCTCTTTGAGATGGAAAACACTGGGAGAGAAACACATTTGGAGAAAAAATGAAGGACTTTGCTTTGGACCTTATTACATTTGAGATTGCAGTTAAATACCTAATGGAGACAGCAAATAGGCAGTGAGACATAAGTTGAGAGCTCGGTCAAAAGTATGAGTCAACCACATAGAAAAGGTATTCAGTGAGGTGATCGATGAGATCTTCTAGGGAACACGTGAAAATTCAAAGGGATGCCAAAAAAGTCCTGGAGCAGACGACATTTAAGGTTGGACAGGAGATGCAGAGAGAAGGGGAAAGCCAACCTGAGGCCCAAACAGTAACATGATGGTGAGAGTGACAGACAGACAGAGGTTAAAGGAATGAGCAGCAGTGCTCGAGGCTGGGGCAGCACTCGTCAGGCACAGCCGTAACCATCCGATCACAGGATTACCACAGCGGGACCTTCTGGAGCTTTCCTACCTCCTCGGGACTTCTTGTTAAACACTGTCTTCCCAATAGCTAAGAAGATAAGAGTTCTCAAATATGGCTCAGAATGTGAGCTATCTGAGTACGAGAGAATACTGACATAGTCTGGGTGACAGTCGAAGAGACAGGAGCTATGAAGATATTTTCAAAGAATAAAATACTAACAGACATAGAAGCAGTAGCAAGAGAGGAAGGAGACAGGGTACACAAGGTGATGCCCCAGAGGCCAGGACAGAGAACTGGACGTGCAACAACAGCAGTAATAAAAATGGGAAAACTGAGGAAGAAGAGTGATTTTGGAACGAGTTCCTTCCCATTTCTGAAACGGAGAATGAAGAGTGGGAAAGCATGGGGGCTGTCCTGCAAGGAGGTAAAACCCAGGACCAGAAGGCAGAAGAAAAAGGGGATGAGGATGTCAAATTTGACGTTACAACATGGGGAGAAAAAAAGCTGAAATTTCAGAATGGAAAAGCCTTTCAGTACTTACAACATGGGAGAGAACAGCTGAATTTGGGAAACAAAGCCCTTAGGACAAATTGAAAGGGAAGAGTAAGAGGAACCAGGAAATGTTAGGTGATAAAATCATTTAATGATACAGATGAGACCAGGCCAGGGTTCAGGATTCTTTTAAGAAAAGTGCCCGAGACTGGACCAGCCCCATGGCCTAGTGGTTATGTTCAGTGTGCTCCACTTTGGCAGCCCAGGTTCCGTTCCAGGGCACGAACCCACACCACTCATTGGCACCCATGTTGAGGTGGCAACTCACATACAAAATAGAGGAAAAGTGGCACAGATGTTAGCTCAGGGTGAATCTTCCTCAGCAAAAAAAAAACAGTGCCCAAGAAAGTAACAGTGATCAGCATAAGAAGAGAGAAGGAAGCAATGAAATCTCATAAGATACTCAAGACGACAGCAGGAAGTAAAGACTGTGGGTAAATTCTGAGGGATCTGCCTGAGGAAGGCAAAAGAGAAAGTAAATGTAAGGGATGCAGAGGCCATGAATCACACCGAGTGAGAGGAAGGAGAAACTCTCTGAAGACCCAGAGCCTGATGCAGTGCACGCCCATGGGAGGGCAGACAGAGGAAGAAGTTGCTACAAGGAAGGAAACTAACCCAGAAAGCAACACCTGTGCAGAGTGCAGAAAAGGGCACACCTGCCTCTCAGAGCCCAGGCCTGGGAAGAGTGACAGCCATTTCCTTATCTGAGCAGCACGAGGGCTCATCCCAAGTTGCCCCAAGGATTCAAGGACGGCTAGGAAAATACTGCCGCAGAGCCAGCCCGCTTACTCCCACACCTCCCTTTCCCAGTTGCTGCTCACCCACTGGACAGCTCTGACGGGAAGCTCTGGCATTCACTATCCACGGCTCTTCTCCTTGCTCCAACTTGAAGATTAAATCAGGCTTTGTACCATGATACCCTGTTGATGGAAAATCACAAAGGCTCAGCCAAGCTGCTCGTGAGCAGCATGAGGAGCTGCTCCTCTGCACTTGGGGAAAGATGACAATCAGGAGGTGAGGGCCAAACAGGGACTAATGTTCAAGTCCACAATCATCAAGTCCTTCAGAGGACCCAGGGCAAATCAACAAAATGAAAGTGGACGGCAATTTAAAATTCACCATCTGAGCTACAGAGAGACACTGTCCTTACCCACGGACAGCAGGTTGCGGTAGTTTTCCAGTATCACATCCCTGTACAGGTGCTTCTCTGCAGGATCCAGCAACTGCCATTCTTCCCAGGTGAACTCCATAGATATATCCTTGAACGACAGTAATCCCTGTAATAATACACACCCCATTCAGTCGATGCAAGTACATTAGGCGACGTGGAAAAGATGCAGAGTCACTGAGAGAGGAGAAGCCTTCCTCCACAGACTGTCTCCTGTGCCAGCATCTACTTTGATGAGAGAACTAAAAATAAATACATACATAAATAAATGTTTTAAAAGATTAAAATAAAATAATTGTGCTTCTCTGTGACGGATATTATTTTGGGTCCTGAAGATTTCAAGATGAATAAAACTCACTTCTGCCCTTGAGAACCTTTCAGTCTTGTAGTGGGAAACAAACATTAATATATGCAAATGAAATAAGGTGTTTTGACTCTGATAAAAACATATCCAGGGTATATTCTGCAGAGAGATGGAGAGAACAGTTCTAAATAAAGGTGCCAGACTCATGGGAAGGTCTGACCCTCCAGAAGCGTCTATCATCTCGCCGGCTGCTCAGCCCATCTTCAGTCTCAGTGGGACAGAGAGACTTACACCATGAAAAAAATATGCCAAACAGGTGAATTCCTAGCCTTCTTTCAAGAAAATAAGGGGCCTATGACTGAGGCCCAGCACAGACTGTGACTCTGGAGCTAGTGTCATGGAGCCACAGCTGATGGGGAGCCACCATGGTGGGCGTGGGATGGTGGCAGTATGCACCCAGAGGAGCCACAGGGGCCCTCACCAGGCAGCTGGTGACAGTTTCGGATATGTGGCCTGTAAGAGTGCTTCTTGACGTCTCTGTGAACCACCCAGTGTACTGAATAAATTCCTTTCGTGAGACCAAAAAAGTAGTAACAAGCCACAGATCACAGGGGATCAGTGAACAAGCATTGTTAGGCACCAACCACGTGTCAGGATTGCTCGAAGTGCCGAGAGCCCAGCTATGGACACGGTCTCTGGAATCAGTGGGTTTCTGTTCCTGCAGGGGGAGGTGCCAGCAAACACAGAGCTACCTCACACGCAGGTGGTGATGGGGCTCCAACAACACTCCGCAGGGAAAAGGGACAGAGTCCAGGGCGGCAAGCACAGGCACTGGTTCGGATGGGGGGATCAGGGAGCCCTCTGGTGAGGGGACATTTGGGCAGAAACCCTAGCGATGTGAGAACGAGCTCCGAGATTTCTGTAGTAAGAGCCTTCTGGGTGCTGTGAAAACAACCAGGCATAGGCCTGCAGGGCTCAGAGGACACGGCAAGGACTTGGGGTTTTACTCCAAGTGAGGCCAAGTCACCAGAAGGCCCTGAACAAGAGTGGCACACTCTGACTCCCATCTGAGATGATTCTGCATGCTGTGGAGAAGAGGGCTCCTGGTTCCAGGGGAAAAGGAAGGCAGCTGGGGCTGGAGCGAGAGCAACAGGGTAGTAAGCAGTGGCTGCGTTTTGGGCATCGCGTAAAGACAGAGCCAGAAGGCGTCCTGACAGAGATGATGCGGCAGGTAGAGAGAGCGAAGGATGTTGAGAACGACAGCACAGATGCTGGCCAGGCAAGCTGAGGACGCTGCCCTTGAACAAGGTGGGGAAGCCCGAGGGATGAGAAACAGAGGGAACGAGGGGCCGAAGACAGTGAAGCAGGAGCTAGAGTGCCCAGAAGTGAGTCATTGCAGGAGAAGTGTCCCGACTAAGGAGAGCACCTGTGGGAAGAAAGGGAAGGAGGAGACAATGTCTCTGCAGCCTGGCAGTCCACTGAGCCCACAGTCAGGAGGAACTGACCTGTGTTTAGGGATCTCAGTAAACAAGGAATCTGCTATCTGTTTCCCTCCGGGAAATCCTGAAGACGGGGACCGCTGGAGCGCTCTGCAAAGGCAGGTGAGAAGTGATGCCCAGAAGATTCCCGGACTTGATGCCCCTTGACAGGCTCCTACCCAACAGCACTACCTGCAGGGAGGGGGACCCTGGAGAGAAGAGACAATGAGTCCAATTCTGGGGAGCCTGCAGAGGTAAGTGAGAGAGAGAGTTGCTCACATCATGGAAATAGAGAGTCGAGCTTTGTCACAGGCTCCAAGCAACCTCAAGGGGCCAGGTTCTGAGCACCAGACAACAGGAGCTTCTGTCCTCTAACCACAGTGGTCTTCCCATCAGCACCCAGGAGGAACCCCCCAGGAGGGCAACAAGAAAAGGAAGTGGGAATAAAGAGACAAGCCTCCCCCCTCACCCCTGCAGCTGAGTAGGGAAAGAAGTGGGACTGGAATTAGAGTGTGGATTGGACTTTCCACTGCCTGAAAGTAACGACAGCCCAATCAGATAGTGACCTGAACATCACGGGCTCTCGCTGAGAGGACCACCAGGGCCAGGGGAGGGAGAATGACAGGACGCGTCTGAGGCTGTGACGGAGAAAAATGAAGCTGTGACTCGTCTGTATCCTAATCAAGTCCGGGCCTTTCATCAAGCTGGCTACCTCACAATGGAGGGAGGCGAAACACAAAGCACGGTGAACCAACACGACTATAAAAGTGCGGCACATGCCACAAGAGTGAATGCAGACCAAGGCGCCTGATTCTGGGGACAGCATGGAAGAGGACAGGTACAGAGCGGGGTGGGGGGGGGGGGGTAAACCGGGAGGCTTATTTTATTTTAAGCCTTTTACTGATTTTTTAAGTTTGATAAGAATAAAAATAAAATACAAAGAAACAATTTAAAAAAATTTTATTGGCCAAGTATGATCAACCACCAAGGGAATTAAAAAAAGAAAACTGACCAAGACAGAGTCTATAACTCTAAGATAGAGAATAGTTTTGAAATTTATAAGAAATTGTGATACACAGGCAGTTCTGCTGTCATGCAACATGTATGCTGCAAAAAATCACCACTACGCAGTTGCATGGGGAAAACCACTGGGCTTACACAAGAATGGGGTTGGGACGTAACCCGTCAGCCACACACAGAGCAAGGCAGGAACCTAAGGAAAACAGCACCAGTTTACACATTTGATGGTTAAGAAATACATAAATACTACCATAAGTTTGCACTTTACCTTGAAAAAGACCTGATGCTGGGGTGTCAGAAGGGCTGCACCTTATTATGAAGTGCTGGAAAGAGGGTGTCTGAAATCAGACAAAAAGCTCACACTGTTCCCTAAGATATCAATCACATCAAAACAAATGCACGTTTTTAAAGCAAACATGACAGCAGAACTGACTGTATTTGAGAATTTGTTCCAATAAACTTGAAAACTTAGAAGTAATGAAAAACTTTCTAGGAAAATAAAAGTAATGAAAATTGGCCTAGAAAGAATTAGGGAAGCCAGATTGACTAGTCAATGATCATAAAATATACCAAAGTAGTATTCAAAGATACACCCTCTCTGGAAACACAATGGTCCCACACTATATTTAAGAGTAAGTCCTATCAACATCCAAGGAACAGAAAATCCCTTCGTATCTAATCAGATGTAGATCCAGGAAGCGATGGGATGCTCATACAGTGCACCAACAAACCTGCATCACCCCACAGACAAAACCAGGCAAGGGCAGCACCCACTGTAGCCTAACCTCCTTTATTATTAACTCTGATAAAAATACTAGTAAACAAATCCGTACCTACGTACATAGCAAACTATGACAAGAAAGTTTACCCAGGGGCCAGCCCAGTGGCGCAGGGGTTAAGTTCACATGTTCCACTTTGGCAGCCCAGGGTTCGCTGGTTCGGATCCCGGGTGCGGACCCATGCACTACTTGTCAAGCCACACTGTGGCAGGCGTCCCAAATATAGAGTAGAAGAGAATGGGCACGGATGTTAGCTCAGGGCCAATCTTCCTCAGCAAAAAGAGGATTGGCAGCAGATGTTAGGTCAGGGCCAATCAGGAAGGAAGGAAGAAAAAGAAACTTTATCCAAAAAATTAAAGGACAGTCCAAAATTTAAAAAAACAAAACTCTATCAATATAATAAGTCACATGAGTACATTAACAGACAACAGCAAAACAATCATCTCAATAGATGAAACAAAGTAATATGATAAAATTCCATATTCTTAAAAAACAGAATTCAGGGGTTGGCCTGTGGCCTAGTGGTTAAGTTCAGTGCACTCCACTTCAGCAGCCTGGGTTCGTGGGTTCGGATCCTGGGCACAGACCTACACCACCCATCAGCCATGCTGTGGTGACATCCCACATACAAAATAGAGGAAGACTGGCAGAGATGTCCATGATAACAGATGGATACACAGATAAAGTATGAGAAATTCACACAGGAGAGTATCATACAACTTGGATAAAGCTCACAAATGATGTTCACTGAAAGAAGCCAGACACATTAGTGTACAACTCCAATTACATGAAGTTAAGAAACAGGCAAAATCTATGGTATTGGATGTAACAGAAATAAAATAAATAAATAAAGCAGTGACCTTGGGGAACAGGGCTGTAGTGATTTGGGGCACGAGGGAAATTGCTGGGGTGCCAGAACTCTTTATTCTGATTTGGATAGCATTTTTCTCAGCGTACATAAATATTCCAATTAAGATTTATACATTTTACTGTATTTAAGTTAGAACTCAATTAAAAAGAAAAAAAGTCAAAATAAGCCACAAACGGATAACTATTAAAAAAAGTCACAGATACACCTACAAATATATTTTTTTCCCGGAAAAAACAGAAGTAATATGTTATGTAGTATGAAACACATTTATGTAAAAACCTAGACAAATAAACCAAAATACACACACTTTTTAAGGATATAAAAATTGTAGATAAATGTCGGAGAAAGACCTAGAAGAATATACACCAAACTGATTACCTTTGAAGTGAGAAAGGAGATTGGGATGGGATATAAGAGGCTAAATTGTGTTCTAAGAGAACACAGAAAAGTAACAAATATGTCATCAAAAATTAATGAAATAGGAAATATTCAGTAGAGCTGTTCACCATTTCAAGGTCTGTCATAGTGACAAGACAGACAAGCTAAATTTCCATGAATAACGGAATAGCTACATAGGAATATGATGGATTAATCCCGAAGACATTTTTGCAAACTGCAGAACAATTATACACAGTATGATGCCATTCAGATAAAAACAAAACTTTTTAAATGTTGACTTAAGCACACCTGAAATTCCACCCCATCACCTCTAAAATCCATAAATAATTTTAATCAACTATTTTAAAAAATTTAAAGATATTTGTGTCTGAAAAGAACATAAAATCTCAGCAGATCAAAGGCTGAGGCGTATCTGAGAGCAGGAACGGTAGGGAGCCCGGTGATTAGCAGCTGTGGGGCGCTCACCACCAGGACACAGGGCCATTAGTTTGCAGAGATGAATCCCCATCAGTGGAGAAACAGCTCAACAAAATGTGGCCCACTCACATTGCAGGACATAAAATGGAGCTATTAAAAGGAATGCTCCCGACCTATATGTACAGTATTACCATGAAGAAATCTAAAATAAATTTAAAGGCCAGCTCCAGCGGCCTGCTGGTTAAGTTCGGCACCCTCCACTTTGGTGGCCCAGGTTTGGTTCCAGGGCGCAGACCTACACCACTCGTCAGTGGCCATGCTGCTGCAGTGGCTCACATACGAAAAGAGGAAGACTGGCAACAGATGTTAGCTCAGAACAAATCTTCCTCAGCAAAAAAACAAATAAAAAAATATAAAAATACAAAAAATAAAAAATAAATTTAAGGGGAAACAGCACACTGCACAATTTATCAGAGAGAAAAAACATAAAAATCTTATGTTTCCTGTAGAAAAGGTCTGGATGGGACTCCCTCAGGCTGCTGACCACCTCTGGACAGAAGAGGAAGGAAAAACAGCCAAAGAGGCTCTGGCTATGCTACTTACAATCACCTTTTCTAAAAGGTGGATGCAATTAAAAATTATCCTATATTAAAGAAGAAAAGCTATAAAGCTATTTTCACACCAAAATACAAACAGACACTGCTTACATGTGCACATGATCACACATGTAAAATACAGAGAAAAATGCTAGGAAAGTTGCCTAACAAAAAGTGGACTGCAGTTTTTTCTGGGAAGTAGAATGGGAGGGGTGAGGTAACCTTTCATACTGTGAATGTACTCCTGCAGTATTTGTCTCAATAAAAATAGGAGAGAAGGAAAGGAAACGAGGGAGAGAAAGCCTGGGGGAGGAAAGGTGAAGCGTGCAGGCAAGAGCTGGCTTTGAAAGCAGGGACTGGAACGATGAAGGGGAAGGGAGGAAAAGGAGGGCCTGTGTGTGTGTGTACAGACGTGCACACAGAGAAATTAAGAGGGAGGATGACAGAGCTAATGTGGCGAAAGAGTAACAATTGGGGAATCTAAGGGAAGGGTGTTTTTTTAACGCAATACAGCTTTTTATGCTATTCTTGAAACATCTCTATTGTTTTAAAATTATTTCAAAATAAAATATAAAACAAACCCAGAGGGCTTTCCAGCACAATCCTCCACCTCCCTTAAGGAGCCGACGCAAGCTGGCCCTGGCTGCCACACGCCCCTCCCCGCTCCAGACACACACCTTCTTTCTACTAGACAAGGCCCCTGCTGGTTCCCGCCCTGAGGTCACTGACTAGCTGCTTCCAAAGCCTGGAATGCTTCCTCTCCCCTGGCCCCATCTTCCTATGACTGTCAAGCTGTCATTCAGACCTGCTTACATGTTGCCTCAAGAGAGGGTTGCCAATCTAAAGCAGCCACCCAGCTACTCTCTTTCACATGCAAAACATTCACACCTTTGTAGTCTGTTTATGATTTTCCTCTGATATGTCTGACTGTCTCCCATACCCTCCATGGGGTCATGGACCCTGACAATCTTGTTCAACCCTCATGCCCCAGAAAATTACCTGGCATACTAGTCAATAAATGTTTGTTAAGTTAATACATGCACTCAAAAACAAGGAAATAATGTTTACATTTCTTAGGATGTCTTTAAGTCCTAAGAGGCAATAAGAACACCAACTCTGGGCTGGCCGAGTGGTTGGATTCACACCCACCGCTTCGGTGGCCTGTGTTTAGCCAGTTCAGATCCTGGGTGTGGACATAGCACCGCTCACTGGGCCATGTTGAGGCGGCATCCCACATAGCACAACCAGCAGGACAGCAACTACAATATACAACTATGAACTGGGGGGCTTTGGAAAAGAGAAGGAGGAAAGAAAAAAAAAAAGATTGGCAACAGATGTTACCTCAGGTGCCAATCTTAAAAAAAAAAAAAAAAAGCACAAACTCTGAAGATGCTCTGCCTAGGTTCGAATCCCAGCTCTGCCACCCCAGTCTCCTTGCATCCCTTACTAGTTTGGACACATGGGCACGCTCCCCAATTTCCTCACAGGGTCCTGAGACTTGAATGGCTTCATGCACACAAGGTGCCAAGCCAAGAGTGGTACCTATTAATACTATTCAATAGTTTTAAAGTCTTCTTTATTTAGGTCCTGTATACTTATATTCACTTATTTTTCTCTTTTTTTAATGCTGTTGTAAATGTAGTGCTTCCTCTCATTGCATTTTCCCTATAGTTATTGTTTAAAAACAAAAGCTGATTGATTCTGAAGTTAATTCTATCACTCAGGCCGCCTCAGTGAATTCCCTTCTCCCCTGCATCCCATCTCTTCCTGTCACACTTGACCACCTAAAAAAGGTCTCCACTATTACACACTATTCCTTCACATCCTGCTGTCCACAGTCTCATGCAACCCACTTTACAACACTCCCTTCACCTCTCAGGAAGTGACCATCTGCACCACCCCCAACATTCTCTCTGCTCTGGAAAAATTGCTTAAGACTTTAAATTTCCAAATCCAAGGGATACTTTTTCGTCCCACAAGGTACTTCATGTCATGGCTTTTATGAAGTTTTCTTTTCTCAAACTTGCAGGGGAATAAGCCACTCTCCAAACTTTCTCTCACCTCTCCTGCAACCCAGCCCCTCTTCACTGCAGCCCTCTCCTTGTCACTGCACAGAGTCCTCTACTGGTCCCTTTGGGGCTCTATTTGGTCATACCCTGACCTTCCACTAACATAGGTGCCTTTAATCTGTATGTTTCCAGTTGAGAACTCCCACCTGAGTCCCAGACTCAGCTACAGGCACTGCATATACAACACCTACAAAGCCGCACTCTTTCCTGGTTCCTCTTCTCATAGCGTTCCCAAGACCGGAAATATCACCACCACGTGCAGGTCAGCAATCGCCGTAAGGTCTCCCCTCTCACTCACTCTATTAATCAGGTGCAGAGTCCACGTGGTCCACTGGCCCTCCTTTCCTCCAAAACTGCTCCTTCCTGCTTTGCACCCTCGACCTCCTCTCCCAGCCTCCTCTCCCTATCCATTCACCGCCAGGCCACAGGTCCTCTAAAACAAGAAGCATATTTATCTTTGCACTGCCAGCACCAGCTCCACCGTCCAGCACACAAAGACACTCAGCAAATGAGCTTTCGACAAACGAATGAGAAAGAGGAGGTTACTTTCCCTAACGAGGTTCTAAAGGTCTGGATATGAAGACAAGTCAATACTCGTGTGCGAAAAATCCGAGATGAGAGAGCGTCAGTTCCCTAACAAGGGCCCTCATTTCTCTCGGAGCTCAGAGTCCGCAGCGGCAATAAATCATTAGTGCCGAAGGAGAGGGCCCTGGACACATGCCGGAAGACTGGAAGCTTTCTGGAGATCCAGAGACGGGGAGGGGGCAGGAACACGCGAGTCCAGGCCCTGGATGTCGCCGTCCCTCGGTGCCACCCCAAGCGCCGAGTCCGCTTTGAAAGGGACGCTCCCACTCACCCAGCACGAAGCTGTCCGGGGCCCGGCGGCCATCCCGCGCTGCTCCGTGCAGCCTGCGGAGGAGAGAACCGCACCATGAGGGTCTCCCCGCTGCTCCCACCCGCCACCCGAGAGACCCCGCGCACCAGGAGGGAGGGTCGCGGGCGGCAGGCACCGCCCGTCCGGGGCTGAGTCCTCGCACGGGAGCCTGAGCCATGAGTTTGTACCGTTTCGTAGCCCTGACGCGGGAGGGACCGAGGCCGGGCTGGCTCCGTCCACGCCGCGGACCGACCGTGGGGGGCTCAGCCGGCCAGGATCCTGGTCTGCACTGGACGCTCCGCGCCGTGTTAGCTCCGCGCCTCCGCCCGCTTGGCGGCCACAGAAACTCAGGACGTCGCCGGGCCGCTCCCGTCCACTGACGTCGCGCCGGAAACAGCCCCGCAGGCGCGTACCCTACTACGGCTGCTGCGGCGGCGGCGCACGAGGAAGTACGTCATGCATCGATGCGCCGGACGAGACGGCACGGAAAGAAAACTACATCTCCCAGGAACCTCTCGGAGGGTCCCTGCTTACTGGCCCAGCTTCCAGCAGGAGGCGGATCTGGACGGTCCCGCACCGCCCCGGCTTCCCCAGAGCCCACGCGGTCGGGGCAAGAGCCCGGGGAAGGGGTTGGAGCGTGGGGCGTCCGCAGGTCTTGATGTCAAACGAGCTAGGGTTGAGACCGAAAGGCGTGGCAGCGAAGGACACTTTGTGAGGCTACGAGCTGCGTTTCACAGGGTTATAAAATAGTTTGGAACATCAGTGCACCAAATAATACAGTTACCGACTTCATAAAGGAGAACCTACAGTGAATGAAAAGAGAAATTAATAGAAGCACAGCGATAATAGACATGAATATACTACTCCCAGTCCAAAAAAGATCAAACAATCCTCTCTCATAACTTCAATAAAACTGTAAATTAGGGGCCGGCCCCATGGCCGAGTGGTTAAGTTTGTGCACTCGGCTTTGGTGGCCCAGGGTTTCACTGGTTCGGATCCTGGGCGCAGACGTGGCACGGCTCATCAGGTCATGCTGAGGCGGTGTCCCACATGCCACAGCTAGAAGGACCCACAACCAAAAATACACAACTGGTGGGGAGGAGGCTTTGGGGAGAAAAAGGAAAAATAAAATCTTAGAAATAAATACCAAGCTATAAATCAATAGCATAAACAGGCCTTTCTGCCTGAAAGGCTTTTTTTAAAAAAGCTTTCTATTCCACAAATAGTGAATGAAGTAGAGAAATACAGCCAAAGCTGTAGATGACACTATATAAGAATTTATAGGAGAAACTTTAAGCAGTGATGACAGGAAATTTCATAATCCCAAGTAATTATAGCAGTAAAAACAGAAGAAAAAAAGTGAATTAAATTCGAAAAAAGCTAGAAGAACAAAGTAAGCCAAAAGAAAGCAAAGGAAAGGAAATATTAAAGATAAAAGCAAACAACTAGACAAAATTAGTAAAAATAGAAAAGACTCAATACTATGAACCCACTCAAAGTAACTGACATATGTAGAACACCATACCTAAAGACTGTTAATTATGCATGGTTTTTATGTGCACATGGAGCAGTCTCCAGAATAGGTCCTATGTTGGACCACAAAATCAGTCACAATAAATTTAAAAGGATTAAAATCATACAAAGTATGTTTTCTGACGAGAGTGAAATTAAGTTAGAAATCAACCCTAGAAAAAAAGGTAGGAAACACCCAGATTTTTGGAAATTAAAAAACACATTTTTTAACTCAAAGAAGAAATCACAGGGAAAATCAGAAAATTCTTTTAACTGATTTAAAATGAAAATGCAATATATCAAAAAAACTGAATCGCTAGAAATCCAAATCCTGAGCTCTTTTCCTTATTCTGCTTACCTCTGATTTCTTTTTGAACCCAGAGCTACTCAGTCACAGTATAGCCTCATAAAATTCCCAAGCAAATTGTGTTTTCAGCAAGTCCGAAACACACATTCTGTGCCCAGTCCTCTGACTGAAGTAAACTCCCTCACCACTTCAGACCTTTCTCAGGCTATCCTCCCATCTAGACTGCCATCTTGTGTCATTTAAATAAATTTAAATGCATAGTTCCTAATCCTACAGTCTTCCCAGATCTTTCCATATTAGACAGGGACATTAGTCTCCTGCTAATCTAACTCTCCTTACGCATAATTATGACTCTTTCGTTATGGTGTAAAGCTGCTATGGGCCTAAAACAATGCAGAACTATTTTTAGGGAAGAGGATCTAGAAAGGTATTGGGTATAAGGGAATAGAAGGAGGTTCTGGAAAAGTGCATGAGAGAAATAGACACCTGTAAGAATGATTAGGGACAATATATAGACAAGTGGAGGCCAATGAGGATGTTTTAATGTGTAAGATATGATAGACTATAATACAAAGATAACCATTCTGTTCATAGAAAATTAGAGGCAGTGCTGGGGACATCTGCATGCATTAAAGGAAGAAGAGTTGCAACAATGAATAAATATATATGATTACCTTTTTGTTTCTGTATTTTTGATTGATTTAGCTTAACATTTTTTCCTTAAATATTGGCATGGAAATTGATGCTGGAAACACCATATGTAATTAATGCAGTGAATTTGTATTAAGACTCTTTGGAGGCAAATGCCAGAAATATAGCTCAAACTAGCTTAAACTAATAGAGGAAATTTACTGCCTTTTATAACTGAAGAGTTCAAGCCGTAGCCTTCAGCGAGGACTGGACCCAGGGCTTCAGGTAGCACGAGACTACACTCTCCTTTTGTTGACTGTTTCCAGCGGGCCTCATTTTCAGTCACGCTTTCCTCATGACGTAGCAATGGAAAACTCACACTTCTTTCATAACAGTTCTGGCAAATATGTGGAGACTGACTTTTGTAGGGTCAGATGCCCATCCTTGAACCAGAGTCACAATGACTGATTGTCCAGGCCTTGGTCCATTGCACAAAACCAATAAACTCATTGGCTGAAGCTTCACTGAAACCACAGAGACTAAGCATAGGAGAAGGGTTGTTTCCTAAATAAAATTGAGATAAATTATCAGAAGAAAGAGAATGCATGTAGGGAAGGCAAACATAAAATTTCTCAGGCGTAGTTCTAGAATTACTGACTCCCCTGGTACATGAATTAATCCTGTTCAATGGGACGGTCAAAGCACAAGGAAGCGCTGTGACACATTTTCAATGTTAGGTCACATCTCAAAACCTCCAAAGTTCGTTCTTGTCCACTGCAGTGAATTTTGATCTCACTGTATTTGTGAACTGTGGTATGACTTGTAGTTTGAATCATGTAAGTTATCTCTGTGGCCTTCATATCACATATCATTCCTTGTTTCCTGTTTGCCTGTCTTTACTTTTTTTCTACTTAAATTCTAAGCTTCCAGTAAGAAAGTGCTCTTATTTATTTTTGTTCCTAACTTTGGAAATAGTGGGTTTTCATTAGATATTGGATTGGTTGGTTAATTTACATGGAATATGCCTAGAAAAATTATTCCTCCGTTTTTGAAATTGTCTTTTTCATAATAGTTTCTTCTCAGTCTGCTTCCTTGATTTTCCATTCTCTTCCTGTGTTTTTGTGGACTGTCTACCATACAAGTCTAGGACGTTAATACTAAGGGACTTGGCAAAGCCTGAGACATTTATTTCTTAACAAAGACTTATAAACTAGCTGGGACAAGAAGTATACACATGTAGCAGATTGAATTTTGGCGGAAACAGACTTTGTAATAGAGATTTGTGAGCAGGCGGTTTATTAGGTAATGTTCTCAGTAACGACCGCTATAAAGGAATGAGGGAAGCAGAACTGGACAGAGGGAAAAGTTGAGCAGTGATTCATTTACAATGAAGGCCTCCACTAATTCCACAAGGATCTCTGAAGCTGGCCCTTCAGAGGTGTCCAAAAATGAGGCAAAGGAGTGGGGACTATCTTGACCAGTTGTTGACGGCAAAGAGAAGGCTAATCTTGGTGAGTTAGCTCCCCTCTTCTGAGGGCAATTTCTTGAGAGGCACTCATTTATGCCTCTTAAAAAGCACCACAACTGGCATCTGGAGAAATGAGTGCCTCAATCCCAAAGGAGGTTCTGCGCCATATACCAGAACACCCACTACAACACATAAGGAGGCAAAACCACTTAGATAAGACTTTGTCTAAGAGCGTCTTAAAGGTTTAAAGATTTGAAGAAAAATAAGCCTATTGTTATAAAGCCAGCTTTTAAACAGAACTAGACAAAACTACTGTAAAACATACCTTGGGTAGAGTCAGTACCTATACTTAATATGGAAATGTATTCGACTTGATGAAAAGTAGTATTTATACCAATAATGATTTTCAGAGTTCAATCAGCTATATAGAGTTAGAGTGGCCTGCATTTTTTTTCAGCTAGAATCATTTTTCCTTATTTTTCATTATAAAAAGTTGAGCTTGAAATTTCACACAGACTCTAAGTGAAGAGGCCTATATTGTATTTCTTTTTTGAGTCACAATTTTGTATTAAAACCATCTAGGTTTGAATTTTTGATATACCGCTAAATAGCTTTGTGGAACTGGTTTAAATAAAAGTGCTTGGTAAATGTCATCTATTGTGGAAATTAAAAGAAACCTGAAGTAAACTGGAGCCGGGAAGGCCTGCAGGGGGCGCTCTCAGCCCCATCCCACACCGTCAGTGACACCAGCCGGGAAGAGACGCTTGCAGCTCGGACAGGAAGTGAAACCGCTCTGCTGCTGCTTCCTTCCGGAAGGAAGGTCTCTCCCCGCCTGCAACTGCCCAGCCAACGGGAAGCGCCGAAGCGCAGCCCAAGAGAAGGTGTTGCCACCCTGACCTGCTGCTTTCCCCCAATGGCCTTTCGTTTGGAACAGCCCCTGCCGACTCGCCCTTTTTCTCTAGAAAAGCAGCTCCCTTTCTTTGTTTTCTGGATTTGCCTCTGGTTTGCCATCGCATGGACAGCTTGAGTTGCAGTTGTTTTGGCTATTCCTGAATACACTCGTTTTGAGTTTTTTCAGTTAACATATTATTACATTTATTGTTTATTTTTTTAAAGATTTTTCTTTTTTTTAAATATTGGCACCTGAGCTAACATCTATTGCCAATCTTTGCTTTTTTTTCTTTTCTTTCTCCCTGAAGCCCCGCAGTACATAGTTGTACATTCTAGTTGTAGGCCCTTCTGGTTGTGCTATGTGGGACACCACCGCAACAAGGCCCAGTGAGTGGTGCCTTGTCCACGCCCAGGATCTGAATTGGCGAAACCCCGGGCCACGGAAGTAGAGCGTGTGAACTTAACTACTCAGCCACAGGGCCAGCCCCTGTTATTCTTGTCATTATGAAGTGTGTATGGTTGCAGGGGAGAGGTCTGGGAAGGCCTTGAAGGTTTTTGGTTAGCACGAGGGATATAAATCAATATTAAGATAAGGATTAAAACAGATACAGAATGTTTTGGAGGTTGGAGGGACTGGAGACCTGTGGGAGAGAGTTCACCACCTAACCACATGATTGGAGATGTACAGTGAAGAATATGATTCCAAATCGACTCTCCAATTCCTTAACTTCATAATATCTTCCTATATTATTACAGATGGTCCCTGACTTACGATGGTTCCACAACGATTTTTTGAGTTTATGATGGTGTCAAAGTGACATGCTTTCAGTAGAAACTGTACTTTGAATTTTGGTCTTTTCCCAGGCTAGTGATACGTGGTACGATACCCTCTTGTGATGCTGGGCAGCAGCATTGAGCCACAGCTCCCAGTCAGCCACGTCATCACAAGGGGAAACAATTTACAATCACAAACACTTATAATCATTCTGTACCAATCCAACCATTCTGTTTCTCACTTTCAGTACATTATTCAGTAAATTACATGAGATATGCAACACTTTATTATAAAATAGACTATATGTTAGATGATTTTGCCCAACTGTAGGCTAATGTAAGAGTTCTGAGCTTGGTGAAGGTAGGGAGGCTAAGCTGTGATTTTGGTAGATCAGATGTGTTAAATGCATTTTTCACATATTTTCAACTTATGATAGGTATCGGGAAATAACCCCATCATAAGCTGAGGAAGATATGTATTTCCCTTTATCTTATCTAGTGGTTTTCAAAGTTTAGGATTCATTGGAATCACCTAACCAGGTTGTTAAAACATTTGTTCTTTACTCAGAGGACAAGATTTGGACCTTTGTATTTTTAATAAACTTGTTAGGTGAACATGACGCTTGCCAAAGTGTGAGAATCATTGATTTACCTTCTCTATTCTTTCTCAGTTGCCTAGAAAAAATCTAATTTTCATTGTTATTGTCCAATTTTTGGATTGCAAATCCATAGCTGAGAGCTGCCTGTGCCATTCATGTCCAATCGACATCATCTGAAGTTTAAACACCCCACTTTTAGTATAGAAGTCTTCTTTCTTACAAAATAGGAAATCAAAGCAGGAATTTTTGTTCTTTCATGTTTCAGATTATATCTGAGAATTCTCACTGGAGAGAAACCTTATGAACATCTAAATGTGAAAAATAATTTAGCCACAACACAAATCTAAATCAACATCAGAAAATTCATGCTGGAATCAAACCTTATGAAGATAATTCCCTCATGTATAGCAGAAACGTTACTCAACAACAGATAACTCACTGTAGAAAATCTCTCTGAATGCAATGAATGTGGAAAGGCTTTTAATTGTCACCTCTTAATAAATATCGGATATTTACACTAGATATAAAGCTTCTAACTATTAGTAATAAGGGAAGATTTTAGTTATTTCTCAAGTTAAATATCAGAGAATTCATACTGAAGAAAGACCCTCTGAATCTCATGAGTGTAATAAAGCCCTCAGACACCATTAAGACTTCATTACGCACCAGAGACTTCCAAGCCACGAGCCAACTTTTACCCAAATTAAACCAAGAGAACAGGTCCCATCCCCAATCTGAAGGGTCTGAAGAACCAGCTATGGGGGTATTACTCTGATCTATAATCAAAAATGGAAAGGATACATAAGCTTCCTCCTGGTGACATATCTATAGGCGCTCAAAAACACACGGCGGGCAGCGCCGGCTGCACCTAAGATCTCTGAACCAAGCACCCCAGGCAGCCACACAGCGCCTTTATAACCGGAAACCTCAAAACTGTCAATCTCCGGAGGCGCGCCGCAGAGCCTTTTGGGAGATGTAGTTCCCGAGCGAGCGGGGCTCTGGGAGATGTAGTTCTGGGCGGACGCTTCCGCGGGGGGACCGCACCAATCTCGGTGCTGCAGGCCTCGGGGTAAGGTTGTGCAGGGCGGGGGCGGGATGGGGAGGCTGCGCGGCGGGGGCGGCCTTTGTGTCCGGCTGGGTCCTGCGGTGACGGCGGCGCGTGCACGAACCGGCTCTGTAGGCCAGTGCGAGGAAGGCCCCGGAGGACGTCCCGCGGCGCATGCGCCGCTTCCGGTCCAGGTCGGGTGGGGCCGTGGGGGCGGCGCTGGCGAGAGTCTCGTGGGGACGAGGGGCTGCGGGGAAGGGGCCCTTGGGGTGGGGTCGGGGTGGGGTGGGGGTCTGGCCGTGGGGGTGCTGCGGTGGAGGGGCTTGGGGGGAAGTAGGGGGTTGCGGGGGGAGCCTTGGGGTGGGGTCGTGGGGGCGGGAGGCTGTGGGAAGGAGGGCTTGTGGTGGAGGCAGTGGACGGGCCCGCGGGGGTGGGGGCGCGGGAGCCCGCCTAGAGGAGGGAGAGAGCGAGATCGTTAGGGCAGCGTTTAGGGAAGTGGGGGTCTGTAGGGGTGGGTGTGGGGGTCTGTAGGGGTGGGTGTGGGGGGCAGTGAGTGTGGGCGTCAGGAGAGAGATTTGGGGGTCAGGCGGGGGCACCCGTGGTGGGGGAGGATGAGGGGAGTGTGAAGGAAAATGTGGAGCTGATTGATTTGGGGACACTGAGGGTCAAGATATTAGAGTGTCTGTGAAGATCGATAACTTGGGACTTGGGAGGGGACGAGTGGTGAAGCCAGTGGAGGGAATTAATTGATTGATGGGGCCCTCTGGGGTGAATCGTTGGAAGGGGCTTTGGGGGGAGTCTAGACTTGAGGGGTTGGCAGTTCTGGGGGCCAGGCAGCCGGAATTGGGAGTGAGGGAGCCCCTGAGGCTGCTGTCTGGAGTGACCGGAGAGCGGTGGGGGGAGTGTGCCGTTGGGGGTACAGGTTGAGAGTTGGTAGGAATAATTAGGACTTTGGTGATCAATGATTTGGATGCTTTTGGCTCGGCGATTGAGGCCAGTGAGAAAGAATGAACATTTTGGGGGTGTTTAGAGGCCTCAGAATTGTCGGACTGAGGGTTTTGTTGCCTAGAAGGCCTCTTGGTTGTGTTAGCGTTGGATTTCACCTGAGCGCTGTGCTCCTGGGAAGCAGCCTGCTGCAAAGAATCCCCTTCTCGATGTGAGTAGATAGGACTCACGCCTGGACCCTGGCTGGCCTGTGACAAGGGCAGACCCCAACCCTCTGAATTCTCATTGTCTCTTCAGTGATTAGCTGAAATGTTCCTCCCCACTGATCAGTCGGAACAAAATGCTTGTTAAGTAGATTTTGGTCAAGCTTCTCTCCTTCCCCAGTTCCCTGAGGTTTGGTCTACCCACCGCTTGAGTGGCATCAGCCCTTCCTGGGAATGTGCGGGCAGAATGTTCTCCGGTTTACTGTCTGGTCCCCACCCTTTCACGGGCTGCCCCACACCTGGTTCTTCTGACCTTGGTTACCCCCTTCTGTAGAAGAAACAAAAAAACTCTTTGTCTTGCAAAGATGCTTAGCACCTCCTCGGGCCAGTGTTCTCCCCATTGCAGCACAGGCACACCCTGCAATAATAACCCTTTGGAATAAAATATTTCCTTACTAAGACTGCATTTGTTTTCGGGGTGGGGGGGGCGGTTTGCTGAGGAGGATTCACCTTGAACTAACATCTGTTGCCAATCATTCTCTAGTTGTATGTGAGCCACCACGACAGCAAGGCCACTGACAGACGAGTGGTGTAGGTCCACTCCCAGGAGTGGAAGCCAGCCGCCGAAGTGGAGCGCACCAAACTTAACCACTAGGGCATCAGGGCTGGCCCTGCATTCGTTTTCTATTTGACAGTCCAATGGTAGCTTTTTCGGTGGAGGGGAATGACTGGGGTGACCATGGCTGGTGAGTGGTTTAGGCCTGTGTTGGGGTTCTTGTAACTGAGGCATCAGGGATTGGGGCACTGTATGTCAGTAACAAGGGGTCAGGATACAAGTTGATGGGTGGCCTGTTGGGGGTTGTGAGTAGGTGGACACTGGGGGTAGTAATTGGAGTCATTGGAGGGGTTGAGGGTGTCAGAGTTTGTGCAGAGCTGGAGGCCCTGTGTGGTGGTCAGTGAATGGTGGGTCAGCACTGGGTGGGATGTCATGGAGGTGAATGGTGGGGCCCCTGTGTGATAAAGGATTGGGGATCCCTTGAGGTTAGTGATGGGGGTTAATTGAGGGGGCTGGTGATGATGGGAGATAGCAAGCCTGAGGGGGCTCTGAGAACAGTGATTAGGGCACCTGTTAAGATGAGTGAATGGGTGCCTGTAGGAGGGAGTGATCAGAGAGGTCTGTGGAGGCCCTTTGGGATTCAGTGTTTGGAGCTTCACACGTTTGGTTTCTAGTCAATGAATAGACGCTGTGGAGATTAACAAATGGGGGTTTGGTGGAACCAGTGATGAGGTTTCTTGGCATCAGAGTTTAGGAACCCGTGGGAATCGGTGATTAGTGATAATCAATCAAGGGGCCTGTAGGGATGACTGTGGCTCGTGCATGGGACTGAGTAAGGGAGAGCATCGTGTGACCGTAAATAAAGGGTCCTGTGGGTGATCAGGGCAGGACTGTGGAGAGACTTTGGGTTTCGTTGACTCGTGTGCTCCTGTAGATTGGTTTTGTCACTTGGGGGCTGCCTCTTGGAGGCTTTGCTAGAGGAATTATTGGGGATCCACAGCATGTGCGATTGAAGGTCCTGGAGGGATGGCCTGTGAAATCAATAATCAGGGTTCTGGGAAGGTGATAGGCATGTAGGGTAAGTGATAATGGGGTTTGTGGGTCTCGGTGGTTTGTTGTCTGGAGTTTGTGCAGGGCTTGTTGTGTTCAGTGATCTAGGGGCTGGAGACTTCTCAGGTGGTCATTGTGGGTGACTGGGGGCTTTGAGGGTCCTGAGGGTTGGTGCATGGGCTGGGATGGTATATGGATTGGCACAGTGTGGTTTGGTCATTTCAAGGTCCGTGGGGGTTTGTGTGTGCTGAGGCCGTCTTTGGGACCTCTGTTGGTGATTGTGGGACCTATGAGGGTGGTGTTTGCAGGTTTGGGTGGCTGTGAGTGAGTGTTGGTCGTGTGTTAGCTCAGGCAGGACTCTCAAGTAGTGACTTCTGTGACACAGCCACGTTCTTCGACCACTCTCACCCAGCACGTGCTTTGTTGGTCAGTGACGGCTCCTTGTACTTGAATCTTTCCTTGTTTAGGAGTTCTCAGCAGCCCCATTGGCTGTAAGGTCCTCCGCCTGGCTTGTTGAACCTCATCGCCTGTCTCTCCCTGCACCACCTCCAGCTCCAGCCGGTTGTGGCTGAGGCTTCTTGGCAGGCGTGGTCTTCCTGCAGTTCCACAGCGGGCTCCTTCTCCTCTTCACCTCAGCTAAAAGTCGTCTCCAAGAGGGCGCCTCTGGCTGTGCTGAAGGAGCATCTTTCATTCACCCCTTCCTCTGTCACATTTAAAACTTATTCTGAGCGTTCTCACAGTCTGAAGTTATTTTATTTACTTGTTTACCTGTTTGCCATCCTAGAAGGTGTTTCCTGGAGGGCACAGACCCGTGTGCCCAGAACAGGGCCTGTAGTAGTGCTTTCAGCAAATTGCTGCTTTCCGGCCAGTAAATGAGAGTGAGAGTGTGTGTGTGTGTATGTGTGAACGTATGTGTGTGTATGTGTGAGTATTTATGTGTGTATATATGTGTGTGTTTTGTTTGGGAAAAGTTATGCTCAGAAACTGAAACTCTTTGCCAATAGTTTATCTAACACAGGTTCCCTCTGGGATTTATAATAGTTTCACAAGCCAATAGCATAGAGGATAACGTCTCTCAATAAGCCAATAAAGAAACAACATAGACCAAACCAGCTATAGGTTAATCACGCTGTTGTTCCAGGCAAGGGGAGATGAAAGGAATAAAGTCCAAGTGTAGTTCGAGTATGCCTTTTTTTTTTATACGATTAGGCCCTTGGGAGAGTTGACTTGACCAACGGAGAACTGACATCCAGCTGCCAGCACAAAACGAAAATGAAAAGTCCTTGTTTTTAGGGAACAACAGCACCAGTGTTGGTGGGCAGGCCACTCTTCATGGGGACCCTGAGAGGTTTGTCACCACTACCAGCAGGGGGGTCGCCCGCCCCTACCATGGCGGGAGCTAATGCCCCAAGGTCTTCGGAGAGTTGATTTAGGTCAGCAAGGAGAGCCTTGCCCAGACCGAAACTCCTGAATAATCCTAACTCTCAGTATTCATAGTCTAAATGTCCGTTTGTCCTATTGCTTCTACACATGTTCTTACTCATCACCCCCAGGGGGACCCCTCAGCAACTGGGCTGCTGAGTTCCTATTACAGACAACAGATGAGGTGATGACATCCTGACACAACTTACTTCGTTCTTCTATCGAAACAACTTTTTTTTGTCTTTGTCATAAACGAATGGATTAAAACAAATCATAAACGAGTGGATTTGAAATCATATTAAACCAATGCACAGCAGTGTAAGGGCATGGATGTATACGTGCGTCTGTGTGTGAGAGACTTGATGTCAATGTGAGAGCAGAGTGCGGGAGTATGTCAGAATCCTGAAGGTGACTGTTGTGAATGTTAGGACAATCAGCATGTTGCCTTTTCCAGGGGGACAGCTAGAGAAGCTCTGTGCATCAACCCAGAAGGGGTCCAAACTAAATAGAAGCTTCCAGGACAGGTGGGCCTTGTCTCAGGGACCCCAGGTCTGGAGAGCCATAACCATGGGCTCTCTTTCACTCAGAGCCCTCTCAGGGCTTCCTGGACTCTGAGACCCCCTTCCATGCCCTGGAGCCTGGAGCAGCTCCCCAGGCATTTCGGAAAGAGGTGCTTTTCCTTTGGATGTTGTTCTCTACTCTCTCAGGACATTTTTTCCTGAGAGATCTGTCCTGAAGCCCTGCACTCCGTAGGGGAACAAAATTTGTCACCCCAAAGTATGTCTCTTTGGCATAAGGATTCTTTTAGGCTGGTTATCTTAAGAAACAGCAGACATGGTAGGAGCTCTGAAAACTGAGAAGTTACCCTTTTGTAAGAGATATTTACATTTATAAGGGAAGTCTCCACGTGGAAGGATGTCTCCCTCACTGTACCGGGAAGAGGGGGACAACTCAGTCTCTAGAAACTTGTCAACGGAGAAGGCAGAGACTTAAGTCTGCATTACAACCGTACCCTTGTTTACTGAACAACCTCCCATAACTGACTCCCACCCCCAACATCTTTTGTCTTTAGCTGAAGATGATATTTAAGGTGGTGGTTTGGGCCATTTAGAGGAGTTACTCAGTTTTCTTGGATCTCTCCCATGTATGTGGGAGGGATACGTGTTATTAAACTTCTGTCAGTTTTTCTCCTGTTATTCTGTCTCATGTCAATTTCCTTCTTAGACCAGTCAGAAGAACCTAGAAGGGTAGAGGAGAAATTTTGCCTCCCCGGGAACTCTTCACATTGGACTAGAAAGTGTCCACTTTCACTCGGGGAATCCGACCTTTTATGTCTGCACCCCTGAGTAGCAGAACCACGTCACTCTTCTCGCTTCCCACTCCTAGGAACTCTTCCTGCCCTGGACGCCCTTGCTCTGCCCTCTACCACTACTTTGGGTCAAAACTCAAAGTCCAGCCTATTTTTCAGACTGACTGTGGTTCTTGACTGCCCCACAAGACCCTCACTTTGGGACTAGTCTCCCCTTGATTCTCTTTTTGACAGAGAGGGAGACGTTTAAGGCCCTCAAGGGGATGATGACAGGAGGTGGTCCATATGGCCAGGTCAATGCTAAGCAGCGTTCAGGTGTTTCCTTCCTGCCTCCTGCTCACCCTCTGCACAAGGCGCAGGCTTTGCTGACTGTGCAGTGCAGGGCTCCTGAGCGGGTGGCGATCAGAGCAGGCTTGTCTAGTCTGTGTCCAGACTAGACCCAACTCGGGGTGGGTAGTAACTGCCTTGAAGGAGCTGCTATTTTGGCTGCACTCTTGTTAGCTGCCCTGGGGCAAAACCTGGCAGTTGGGTGACACCCTGGCGTAACTTTCTCCCCTCATTTGCAGCAGATGAGTGGACACTTCTGTCCATCTTTCTCTGTGTCCATCGACATTGAAGGTGCCTTTCCCATTGTTTGGTAGAACAGAGCCTCCAAACAGCGCATTCTTGCTCTCAGTCTTCTGCAGGTACCACGTTCTCTCCTTGCTCACTGTTTTCTGGAGCGGTATCCACTGACCTGTCCACCACACTGTGTCTTCCTCGTGGCCTGTCAGTACGTGGAAACTGAGTTGGGAGCACCAGGAGCTTAGGAGGTGCTCAGCAACCGTTCCTGGACCACAGGTGGAGACCACAAGCAATAGACAAATCTCGATTGGTGGGGTTGCTATGAAAGGTGGAATGTGTCCCTCTGTCCCCAAGTTTAATGGCTACTGTGTTTTTTAGACATTTCTTTTCAGGTGCATTCTTATGAAGCAACTAACACCCCTGTGCGACCCTGTGCCCGTGGAGTCCTTGGCTCTGATCTCATATCCGGCTGAATGTAAGTGACCTGATCCATGAGCTGTGAAGAAATTTAAGGTGTATTTGTATCACTTTGCATCAGAACATAGTATTTTTTCTTTCTTATGCTTATCTTAAATCTTGCTCTGTCTCTTCCAATAATTCTGCTTAAGATTGTATCTGCTATACAGTTTGTAATCATTGAAGAAGTTTTTAAAATAGTGGTTGTACTCAGTTATCTGGTTATATGGCCTGTTGGGGAAATAATTAAAACTAAAATCTGCCAACCCAGAAAACCTTTCCACAAAAGTAGAAGAGAAAGAAAAATAGTTTTATTATTTATTAAAAACTAAGCCAGAATGCGATGAGTATCGTAGGCAATCCGCTAAAGAGATTGTAGAGACGGGGAGAAGCCTCACCCTGCTCTACAGCCAGGCAGACACAACCCATTACACACGATCTCAAGACAAATGATCGTGGGTCACACTCAGTTCATGCTGAATTTCCTTGGGGATTGGGGTGGCCATCTGTGGTAGCTAATTGCCTTTATCCAGAGGAAAAATGCACTCCTCCCATCTGTATGATGGAGATAGTTTTACAACTTGGAGCCAGGTGCCAATGTCAGGCTCGTTGGGCTCTGCCCTCCCAGAGGCTGGGAGATGGGAGTGTGTCTTCTGGTGATTTCTGAGAGCTCCCAGGTCCTTAAGAAAGATATTCTTGGGTTGTTAAACTGGACAAGCCTTATTTAGCTTTAGAAAGGATTTATGTACACCTCAACGGGACAAAGAAAGAATTTATAATTACAGGTTTTCTACAGTAAATGCTCTTTGAATAGGGATCAGGGGAGTCGCTCTCCCTTTTCCGCCCGAGGGAGAATTGATGTTTTTCTCATTTTTAATCTGCATTTACCTTTCCAGGCCTCTGCGCTCCTACTCCCCCAGAGGTGTTGGCTGCTCTGCACAGCGAATTTGCCTTAGGGAAGGGCTGAGGCGAGGCCTTTGAAGCAAAAGGGAGGGAAGGGGCCCCAGAGCCAACAGTGTGGCCCCTGTAGACTCACTGGGACAGCCCTGTGTCCCACCACCCCTCCCAGGAGCTCCTCAGTCGGGGATCAGAGAGCCTCAGAAAGGAGCAGGCTGAGGAGCAGGTCCCTGGTGCGGAGGGCGTGGGCGATGAGTAGAGCCCAAAGGCAGCCCTTGCCATGTCCGTGATTCCGTAACTCAGCAGGGATTTAGACTTGCCTTGATTTCCCCTTGGGAACCTGTGGCCTGGGCTGTTCCTGCTGATTCTGAGGGAAAGGGAGGCAGTGTTTGTCCCAACCTGAGCTGAGGAGGAAGCACTGTGAGAGTTTCCTCAGGCGTCTCTCCTGCCGGCCGCTCTGCTCACTTTGGTCCTCCTGCAGTAGTCCGCCTCCCGCAGCCTGCGCCCCCGGGGTCTCCTCCTGTCTGTGTGCGTTTCTGTGAGGTCCTCGCATCTGTGCCTGCCTCTTGCTGTGGGGCAGGTTTTGGAGTGGAGAGCCAGCACCCCAGGCTCCTTTACTGTCTTGATCTAAAAGACATTTTCTATTAACCGTCCTGCCTGGAAATGAGTTGCCTTTTGTTATCTAGCACCTGTGCAGGCAATTTCATTTAAGTGACCCCAGGAAATATTACAGGAGGAGTGAGCCAGGACTGTATTTGCAGACTGTGGTGAGGTGTCTGCAGAGCGGTTTGGTGTGCTGATGCTCCCTGGGCGTGTTTGGTTGAACCAGCGAGGCGGTGGCTTCAGTCCAGCATCTACAGATGGGGCCAGTGCTGCAAAGTGCACTGTGTGGAGCAGACCTGGCCCAGATGGTGTCAGGCTCAATGAGACGTGCCAGAAGCTGACATTGTATCCTGTTTTATACCCACCAGCCCTGATTTGAGTCTAGCAAACAACGCGTCTAGTTCCCAGAAGAGAACCAAGATTTAAGTCCCCAAATTAATTATATCGTCTAAAATAAAATTCCCACTGCATGTTCAGGCTGTGGCTCTCAGGAACAAGATAACTCACGCCAGATAAGGAAGAAGAGGCTCAGGCCTGGGGGTACATTGTCAGTTTACAGACCTTCAGCCAGAGGCCTTTCTCCGGAGCGTCAGGACACAGCGAAGTCACAGAACAGAGCAGATTTCCCAGGAGCAGCAGAACATGATCGAGTCACAGGTGAGTTACTTGCTTATCCTCCAGCAGTTTTCCTCTGTGCATGTGACGAGGCGTAAGGAGCCTCTACAACCAACAGGAAAGATCTAAACACATTTACAACATAATCAGAAAATACAAACTTGGGAAAGAAGATGCCAAAAGAAGCACAGAGTGGACTGCAGAATCATGCAAGAGCCTTAAAGTGGAGCCCAGACAGGTAAGGAATGAGGCCCTTCACTACTCGGGTGGAGCTGCAGGCCTCCCCAGCTGTTCCAGAAGCCTTGTCAAAAAGGGAAACAGGAATAGTCACATGGGTCCCTCTGTCAAAAAGCAGACCAGTTACTCAGCCGAAGCAAACATTTCCTAACAGTTGCACATAAAGAAAACATTTTGACAGCTATGTATGTAGATGATATAGTGGGCAAAGTCCTAAATAGCAGCCTTGTAATATGTAAATCCTGCGACAAATGAGCATATTTCCTAGGGCTGTTTCTCACCAAGTTCCTCAGTGTAAGCTCAGGGGGAACTCCGAACACACAGTTAGGGGAGATGGGAACAGTGGGCCTGGACTGATTATTACAAAACCGTCAAATGGCCCCCATAAGCCTCCTCTCAGTTGGAATTTTGGTACATTTTAGGTGGAAATGTATTTGCTTCTGTTGGCAAAAGCGGGACATGAGGGTATCTGCCTTTTGTTCCTATTCCTTCTAGTCCTAAGCTCTGTTTCCTGACTGTCTCAATTCCAGAAACGGACTGCAGTGTCCCTTCACCTTTCAGAGCAATTCTTGTCCACCTAGCTAACCTCCCCTCGCTCTTCTCTCCCTCCGTCCTTTCCTTTCTTTTAAAAATTCTATTGTTTGAACTGACATATGGCAACACTGACTTCCCCTTTTCTGACGTCCAATTCTCTGGCAGCTCAGCTGAGCTGAGAGCGAGCTGAGTGGCCAGGTGTCAGAGCAGCTGATTAAAGCAACAGCCAGAATGAAAGTCACAGTGGAGCCTGAATCACTTACTGCGATGGTGCCTTCAAGAGCACAACCGTGTTCCAGTTCCCCAGGGAGCAGTGCACTGGTCCAGGGTCAGGTGGATCAGCACAGATGTGGGGGTCGTTCACTGCCCAGGGAGCAAGAGGAACAGGAGGCTCTGGCATTTCTTTGGTCCCTGGGGTCAGGAGTGGGGGAAGGGCCAGGAGTGGAAGAGTAGTGGGTTCTGAGTCGGAGTGGGGGAAGTGTCTTCAGGGTTCTCCTCTGCCCGCCATTAGGAGGTCTTGGCAGAGGCACCTGAGAAAGCCCTCTGCCGAAGGCCTCGGATAAAGAGACGTGTGGTGCATAAGATCATGACCGGCCAGGGGACCTGAGTCCTCAACTGCAGTTCCTTCAGAGCCTGTGGGCAAGGTGTGCAGGTCTGGTGTGGGGAGAGCAGCTTCCCCATGAGGCCTGCCAGGTGGTCGCACCTGAAGATTCACACAGAGGTTTTTAACCAAGAGCCAGACTCCTCAACTCCACCACTGGATCTTTCCAGACCTGCACGGGAAGCAGGCTACCCTGTCATGGACTCGAACAGGTCAGACTTGAGGAGCTATGACAGGAACCAGCTGGTTAACCTGAGGCAGCAAGGGCCAGTGCCACAAAGAGGCCACTCGAGGCAGGGTGGTCAGGCCTGCCTCAGGACTGAATGTGCTTGTGACAGTTTCCAAGTCAGGAGAAGGGCCCTCAGCCCCTTAGGAGGCTTCTCAGGTTTCTCTATGAATCTTTTTGGCCTGGCACAAGGCATCAATTAGGCACAGCACGCCTCTGGCCAGTAAGTGGAAGCTGGCCTCCAGGCCTTCCAGGGTGAGACAGTGTCACGATGGTTGGGGTACACACCTCAGAAGTGCAGTCCCGGAGGGCACATGCGGTCCTCCTGGAAACAGAGTTTACAGAGTAAGGGCACCCAAGCAGACTTTAATCAGAAGGGTTAACAGGGCTGCAGTGTGGCTTTCCATTGTGGCCCTCCTGCCCCGGGGGTTTTAGTCTAGTCTGAGTAATATAGTTTGGTCCTTGGTTTTAGAGGGGCTGCCTGGGCAGTTCCAAACCATTTTGTTTGTCCATGACCTCAGCTTATTAGTTCATACTTTATTAGATGTGGACCACATCTGAAATGTTCCTCCTGGAAAGTTCAGGAGCTGAGGCCATCCTCTGCCGTCCCAGAGTTGGCCCATCGGGAGGCTGCATTGTCGGCTCAGCAGTCAGTCTAAATCCAGAGCATCCACAGGAGCCTGGAAAGGCAGCAGGGGAGCTGTGTCTTCTGTTTTTTGTTTTTCTCCAGGGGGAGGGGAAAGCTTTCAGGAGCAGGTCTGAAGAACAGAGATCATTAATGTCTCCCCCTCCCCCGTCCTCCTAGGGTGCTGGGTTTTGTTTTTTCTGTTATTATCAGTGTGTCCCATTTGGTAATCAAAACTTTTTTAAAAAAATTACCTGTTTCCATTCATACCTTTTGTCTGGAAAGACTGTATGCAGGAGGAACAGATATTTTTATGTAACTGAACCAGAAAAGTACATCACGTTTAAGAACTGGTTAGCCAAAACTCCTGAATTTTCAAAAGATTTTAAAATGGTTTCACTGAGGCTTCAGGAAGATGCTGGGAGATGGAAGGTGTTCACAGTGTCCCGGGGGAGCTGAGCTCAGTGACTGTAAAAGGAGGGCAGGTAATTGAAGACCGGATGTCTTCTCCCTCGGGCCCCAGTGAGAAGGGCCCTTTTGGGCAACTGCTGCCTGGGGCTCCAGGCTGCTCTTCCGAGCTGTGTGATCCAGGCTGGGTTATCTTGACCCCTCCCGTCAGCCGCTGAAGTCTGGCCTTCACTGCCCATTAAAACACTTGCTCAGCTGTGTGGGAAATCTGGGCTTATTCTAGCTGCAGTGAATTCAGGAAAGCTGGACAGGAAACAGGGGTGGTCTTGGAGGGCCTAGACCATGTGGCCCATGTGGGTGGAACCCTAGGGATGGCTATCCCAATCCCAGGAAAGTGTCAGCTGCAGTCAGGGTCCAGCAAAACCCTCGGGACAGGACCGGAGGCCCAGTGAAATCCACCTGTCAAGAACATCCTGGCCTGCTGGCAGGGGAACCTGTCCCTGGCAGTGATTTTAGCCTTGGCCAGTGTCTGGAAGGCCAGACAGCTCTCTAGTGCTGGTTCAGCATCTTCTGATGACAGTGGCAGCACACACGCATAGGCCCAGTCCAGGACAGTGTCTGATCTCCACAGGCCCTCCTCTCAGGGACCCAAGAGGCGACCAGTCTCGTCACTGCCTGCTCCGGGGTGGAGGCGGTTTTAGTCCCCGTGCGTAGCTGACAGGTGCGGTCGGTTATGTTTCCTAGGGGCCTTTGTGGTGAGCATCCACCTGGGTAACAACAAGCTTATTAGGAGCAGAACTTATTTTTATCCAAATGTCTCATCCCCACAGAAGGGCTCGTCTTGTGTGCTGGTCTGAGGCTCGTCTGTGGTGTTAGTTATGGCCCGTGAGGCACAGGTTCACAGTCTCCCACGTGCCCCTCTGTAACGGCCCTGACTATGGCAGTTCCCGTCAGGGCTAGGGGCAAAGGCTCACCCGGGTGTACATAAACCACAGCACGTTCAGTAACGGGGACCAGAATAACAGTCCTGGGGAGCCCCTAGTGCACTGGCTGTGATCCGGGGTGTGGGGAGGGCAGCTTCCCCTGTGAGGCCTCCCGGCACAGCCTTTGTAATTGCCTGTGGTTTGGTCTGAAAATCCTTGTTTTGAGCCAGGAGCTGGACACCTCCTATGAGTTTTAAAATGTGTGCAAATTCACGTAATCAACATCACAGCCAGGACTCGGAACAGTTCCCTCTGCAAACAAGCTCCCCGAGTCTCGCCTTCCCACATCCCTAACCCCGACAGCAGCTGGCATGTTCTCTGTCACTGCAGCTGCCCTCTCCAGAATGTCATATAAAGGAATTATAAGTGTCTAGCCTTTCAATGCTGGCTCCTCTCACTCATCCTCGAGGCCGTCCATGTTGTCTGTATCAGTTTGTTGTTTTGTTGCTGAGTGGTTAGCGCAGGGTGGTGTCCCGTGTGGACACCCGTGTCCTTACACATTCACTCTTGAAGGACACCTTGGTTGCTTCCAGTGTTCAGCAGTTGTGTTCCTTTGCGTACAGATTGGAGCACAGCTTCTCAGGTGAGCGTTAAGTTTTCCGTACACTTGGATGAATCCCAGGAGTGGGACTGCTGGGTCATCTGGTAGGTCTGTGTTCCACTTTATGAGAAGCTGCCAAATTGGTCCTCCAGAGTCGTGGACCATTTTGCATTCCCACCATCAGTGAATGAGAGTTGCTGTTGGCTCTGCATCCTCGTTTGTCAGGGTTTTTTAAAATTTTAGCCATTCTTATTGTATGTAATGGTATCTTATTATAGTTTTTAATTTGCATTTCCCTGATGACAAATGCTGCTGAACATCTTTTCATACGTTCATTTTCCATCTGTACATCTTCTTTAGTGAAATAGGTATTAAGGTCTTTTGCCCGTTTTTTTAATGGTGGTGTTTGTTTTCTTATTATTGAGTTTTAAAAGTTCTTTATTCTGGATGCAAGTGTTTTCTCAGATAAGTCATGTGCAAATATTTTCTTATAGTCTGTGCCTTGTCTTTTCTTTCTCTCAATGTCTTTCACAAAGAAAAAATTTTAATTTTGAAAAAGTCCAATTTATTAATTTTTTTCTTAAATTCACCATGTGTTGGGTTTTATCTGAAAACTCATTGCCAAACCCAAGGTCATCCATATTTTCTGCCAGAAGCTTTATAGTTTTATATTTTACATTTAGGTCTGTGATCCATTTCAAGTTAATTTTTTTTTTAGATTTTATTTTTTTTTCCTTTTTCTCCCCAAAGCCCCCCTGGTACATAGTTGTATATTCTTCGTTGTGAGTCCTTCTAGTTGTGGCATGTGGGACGCTGCCTCAGCGTGGTTTGATGAGCAGTGCCATGTCTGCGCCCAGGATTCAAACCAACGAAACACTGGGCCACCTGCAGCCGAGCGCGCGAACTTAACCACTCGGCCACAGGGCCAGCCCCTCAAGTTAATTTTTTTTTAAAAAAGATTTTATTTTTCCTTTTTCTCCCCAAAACCCCCCGGTACATAGTTGTATATTTTTAGTTGTGGGTCCTTCATGTTGTGGCATGTGGGACACCGCCTCAGCACAGCTTGATGAGTGGTGCCATGTCCTTGCCCAGGATCCAAACCAGCAAAGCCCTGGGCCGCCGAAGTGGAGCACGCGAACTTAACCACTCGGCCATGGGGCCAGCCCCTCAAGTTAATTTTTGTGTGAGGTATGTGTTGAGGTTTATCTTTTGCTTATGGGTATACAGTCGTTCCAGCGCCATTTGTTGAAAAGACTTCTTTCTCCATGGAATTGCTTTTGTACCTTTGTCAAAATCAACTGAGCGTGTTTGTAGGAGTCTGTTTCTAGGCTCTCTGTTCTGTTCCGTTCACCTGTGCATCTGTCCTTTCACTAATACCACCTTGTCGTACCTGAAATCAGGTGACGTGCATCCTGCAACATGTCGTCTTTCTCCAAGTCGTTTTTGCTGTTCCGCCTCCTTGGCCTTTGGCCCCCATACCCTGTATACACTGGTTTCGTGGCCCGTGTAACACCTTCTTGCCACTGGCCTGAGGAGACTGAAAAATATTTAAGAACATGATTTTTCTACTCATCTTTGTATTTCTAGGACCTGTTACAGTGCTGAGAACCTTAATTGCTCAGTGTCCATGTTCTAGAAGACGTCTACAGGAGCTAGCTATTGTTCCAACTTGGGAGCAGAACCATCCCCGAGGGAGGAGAGTTTTAGATATGTGGATGTGGTTTTGGTTTGACAGTGACTGAGAAGTTACTGTCATTTGGCTGGTGGGGGCCAGGCAGGCTGAGGTCTCACCCTGCTTGGGGAGATCTTGCTCAGCTAAAATTGTTCCCAATACCAGTGGCACTTCCTTTGAGGAACACTGTGCTTGTTTAGAAAAAAACCTATTCCAATTTCTTATTCAGCAGATAGATGGGTGGATAGATGAATGAATTCATAATGGTAAATATTTTAATAACATTTTTGTTTCTCTCTCAAAGTGTAATGCAAGATTAGGATATGATATTAGTTATCCATTGCTGTGTAACAAATTACCCCAAATGTCAGTGGCTGAAAACACAGACATTTATCTCATAGTTTCTGTGGATTAGGAATCTGCCAACTGCTTACCATGTGGGTCTGGTTCAGGGTCTTTCACGACCCCGTAATTGAGAAGTTGAGAAGGCTGTGGCCACCTCCAGTGCAACAGGGAGATGGTCCCCTTCCATGCTCACTCATGTGGGTGTTGGCAGGCGTCAGTGCCTTGCCACATGGGTTTCTCCCCAGGGCTGCCTCCCAGCACAGCAGCCGGGTTCCCCCAGAGAGAGTGAGAGAGCGTTCCCAAGAGGGAAGTCGCAGTCTTTTTAACCTGCTCTTGTGTGTGACACCCCTCACTTCTGCCCTCTTCTGTTCAGGGGAAGTGAGTCAGTAAGTCCACCCCAATTCAAGAGGGGAGGACTACACAAAAGCCTGAATACCAGGAGTTAGAGATCAGCGGGCCAACTCGGAGGCTGCCCACCACTACAGAGAAGAAAGTCTGTATTCCACAGTGAGAACCACCTCAAATTTACCAGAGATTGTGTTTTTCTAGATATCGTTTGAGGACGTGGCTGTGGACTTCACCTTGGAGGAGTGGCAGCTACTAAACCCTACTCAGAAGAACTTGTACAGAGACGTGATGTTGGAGAACTATAGCAATCTAGCTTTCTTGGGTAAGCATATTCTTTTTTGCTTTTTTGAGGAAGATTAGCGCTGAACTAACATCTGCTGCCAATCCTCCTCTTTTTTGCTGAGGAAGACTGGCCCTGAGCTAACATCTGTGCCCATCTTCCTCTACTTTATATATGAGACGCCTGCCACAGCATGGCTTGCCAAGCAGTGCCATGTCTGCACCCAGGATCCGAACTGGCAAACCCCAGGCCACTGAAGCAAAATGTGTGCACTTAACCGCTGCACCACCGGGCTGGCCCCTCACTTGCTTTATTTTATAGCCCTTGTAGTAAAATAGGCTTCATGTTTAACAGTCTCTTAGCTCAAGCAACTGGGTCCACGTCCTCTGTGTTTTCAATTAACAGGTTATCAAATTATCAAACCTGATGCCGTTTTCCAGCTGGAGCAAGAAGAGCAGTGGATAACAGATGAAGAGATCCTAAACCACAGCTGTCCAGGTGAGCAACAGTCAGGTGTATGGCCCACAGGGGAAGTTGAACCTCAGGTTTCTAATGATAGGCTGGCACTTTTGAAATGTTATTTATAAAACTGTGTTTATAGTTCCTAAATCATCAGAGTTGACTCAAGATTGGTGACATGAGCTCTCCATGAATTTTGCTGTACTCTGTATCCTGGTCCCCACGTCAGGGTGAGTCCCCTGTGTGTGGAGTTGATGATGAAATAGACCCCCTCTCACCTCCACGGTGGCACAGGTTGATGGCAGTCCTTTAGGACCTTGCTTTCTTGGATCAGGGGGTTCTTAGCTTCCTCAGTCTCCGTTTCCTTGTCTCCTGCCCCCGTCCAACCCACAGAGGCAGGCTTCTTTCCTCCTCTTTAAGAATTCATAAAGTGTTCTTGTTTTGGGTACCACTGATTACTTTTGAGTTTCCTTTAATTTATTTTTTTCCTCCCTCTAATTTGTCAGATTTCTGTTTTAAACCTGTAGAGAGTGGAAGGTGAATCCATGGATAGAGAATAAAAATCGAATACCTTGCAAGTGTGGAGTTCTGCCTCTTCCCTGGCTCTGTGCAGACCAAGGACTTGCATTCAGCTTCCAGTGCATCCTTGTGGTGCATCTGGTGTTCAGCTTCTCTCAGGCTTCTCATGCATCCCCTCAGGTAGTCTGCTGGGTGTACGACTCCCACCACCTGCTGTGTGATATTTTAACTCCATTTATGTTGAAGAACCTCATGGTATGGCAATATCTTATCTACCCAGTTTTATATCATTTAATATATTAATTTGGATATATATCTTAATCTTAATTCTTGATTTGATTTTAATTTAAAATATTTATTTTATTTACTTTTACATTTCAGGAAACAATTTTTTTTACTCTTCATGTGGGTCTGACACGTTTTATGTCTACATACGACTGTGGCATTTAATCTCCAAACTTCTTCCCACAGTCGTTTTCATCTCAGTGGCTAGTATGATCCTCTCCACTCCTGTAGCTCAACACATTAATCCTTTCATTTTCCTCCGTATCACCAGCTCCAGTTGGTTCTTCCTCTGAAATTCTGATATATCTGAGAATTAGATGAGGCTTTTTTATCCCCCCCCAAAAAAATTATCCTGCAGAAAAAGAATAGGTCCCTTAAATTTGAGATCTTGCCAAATCTTTCATCTTGCAGAGTACTTCCTGGGAATATTGCCCCATAAGAGCTAGTAAAGAGTATCATCATAAAGTGAACAACCTCTAAAAGGTCAGTGTAAAATATCCATAAATGGTCGTATTGTGGAAATCACAGACAAATATGCTTATGGGTTAAAAAAAAATCCTAATGTTATGCAAAGAATTCTTGTAGTTTGGAATAATTTCCACTGATAGCATCATATATAGATTGTGAATTCAGTTAAAATGTCAAAAAATCTGATTAAAAAGTTGGTGCTGAGATCTGGAGAACTTTCCCAAAAGTAGCTCTAATGATGGGGAAGCTACTGATTTCAGTGATTCAGGCAATGATCTTGAATGAGAATGTTTTTTAAATGTAATGATAGTACTGAAAACTAACGTTGCTCATCTTTCAGAGGGCGGGTTGATATCCCACGTTGACCTGCGTCCTAGTCAATGCTTCTTCCCTTATAGTGCTCAACAGTGTGTGCTCATCTTTTCCTTTCATGTGTCACTGGTCTCTGTCTTCCTGCGTTGTAAGCCCTCTGATGGGGGCACCTCCTTGTCTTCTCTGACCTGCTAGATCAAGTTCTGGACACATAGTAGATAATCAGTAGATCGTTGTTGAATAAGTAAATTGAGCTCTCCAGTATTTGATTGAAAATTGCTCCAGTCTCTTTTGGTTGTGATCACTCTTCCTTGGGTATATTTCATATTTCCATATTTAAAAGTTCATGTTTTTATAAATTTGTAAATTTAAATTCTGTTTTCTGTTAAAATTTTCAATGCCCAATAAGTAGACATTGTATTTGAGAGATTTGTGTGTGTGTGTGTGACTAGGATCCTAGGCTCCATTTCAGAAGTTTTCTTCAATAAGCATAATCATTGAGGGATTCACACAGTATGGGTTCATTTTTTTCCTTTTTAGAAGAAGTCTGGCTAGATGATAATCTCAAAATGTGGCACCAGGATAATCAAGACAAAGGTATGGAGAGAGGCCATGAATATGATGTTTTTGGGAAAATATTTCATTCCAGCATTAACTTTGTTCATTTAGGAATGAGGCCTCATAAATGTGACACAGGTGAAAAAAGTTTGAAACATCCTTTTGATTTTCTTATTCCAAAAAATAACTGTGGAAGAAAGAAACTTGATGAGCTCAATAAGAAATCGTTAGTCTATATCAAACCTGATAGACCCCACAGTGGAATAAAATACCGTGGTTACAGTAAATGTAGAAAAGCCAGCAGGAAGGAGTCGTGGCTCATTACAAGCCAGATAACGCAGTCAGGAGTCTGTCTATGCGTGGAATGTGGCAAAACTTTTAGCAAGAAGTCACAGCTCATTGTGCATCAGAGAACTCACACGGGGGAGAAGCCCTACGGCTGCGGCCAGTGCGGGAAGGCCTTCTCCCAGAAGTCATTGCTCACTATTCACCAAAGGACTCATTCAGGAGAAAAACCATATGGGTGTGGTGAGTGTCAAAAAGCTTTCAGTAGGAAGTCACTGCTCGTTTTACATCAGAGGACTCACACGGGAGAGAAGCCCTACAGCTGCCGCGAATGTGGGAAGGCCTTCAGCAGGAAGTCCCAGCTTAAAAGACATCAGAGAACTCACACAGTAGAGAAGCCCTACGGCTGCAGTGACTGTGGGAAAGCCTTCTCTCAGAAGCTAAAGCTCATCTCCCATCAGAGAATGCACACGGGAGAGAAACCCTATAAGTGTGGTGATTGTGGGAAAGCCTTCTTTTGGAAGTCGCAGCTTATTACTCATCAGAGGACTCACACGGGGAAGAAACCCTATGCATGTAGTGAGTGTGAAAAAGCCTTCAGCAGGAACTCGCTCCTCATTAGGCATCAGAGGATCCACACAGGAGAGAAGCCCTATGAGTGCAGGGAGTGTGGAGAAGCCTTCATCAGAAAACCACAGCTCGTTAAACACCAAATAACTCACACAGGAGAGAGGAACCATCACTGCGGCGATTGCGACGAGGCCTTCTTCAAGAAGTCGGAGCTGATCAGACATCAGAAAACCCATCTGGGAGAGAAACCCTATGGATGTGTTGAGTGTGGGAAAACTTTCTTTGGGAAGTCACAGCTCCTAACACATCAAAGAACTCACACTGGAGAGAAGCCTTATGAATGCAGTGAGTGTGGGAAGGCCTTCACGCAGCGGTCAAGCCTGATGTCCCATCAGAGGACACACACAGGGGAGAAGCCCTATGAGTGCAGTGAGTGTGGAAAAGCCTTCAGCGAGAAGTCAAGCCTCATCCACCATCAGAGAACCCACACTGGAGAAAAACCCTTTGAGTGTGGTGAATGTAGGAAAGCTTTTGCCTGGAAGCCACAACTTCTGAGGCATCAGAGAATTCATACAGGGGAGAAGCCCTATGAATGCAGTGAATGCGGGAAAGCATTTGTTCAGAAAGTGCAGCTCATTAAGCATCAGAGAAATCATACAGGAGAGAAAACCTATGGATGCAGTGATTGTGCCAAAGCTTTCTTTGAGAAGGCACAGCTCATTATACATCAGAGGATTCATACAGGAGAGAGACCCTATGAATGTGGTGAGTGTGGGAAGTCTTTCACTAGGAAGTCCCACCTCATGCGGCATCAGAGAATTCACACAGGAGATAAATACTATGGGTGCACTGAGTGTGGGACTGCCTTCAGCAGGAAGTCACAGCTCATGACACATCACAGGACTCATGTCCTGGAGAAGCCACGTGAGTCCAGCGAGCATGGGAAGCCTGCTGGCAGCTGTCGCGCCTCCCCGCCCTTCTGAGCACACAGGCAGGAGAGAAACACTGTCACTGCGCTGACTGTTGACAAAACTGTCATTGCAAAGGTAAGTCTCACTAAACAGAATTCAGGAAGGAAAGAGCTTTTAGAACAGTAGACCGTATAGGAAAGCCTTCTCCCAGAAGACGCCATTTATTACACACAGATGGCCCCACACTGTGGAAGTCTTATCAATATTGTGATAGCACAGAGCCTTTTAGTCAGAAGCAACAGCTCATTAAACATTTAGAAGACCTAAACAGGAGGAAAACTCTGTTGTTATAAAAAGTGAGTGAAAGATTTCATAGAGGAAGGATGACGACGGTGCACTCAAGAGCACGTGTGCGCAGAAAACACTAAATGCTGTATATTGGAGATTTCACACTGAGGAGTAGGCCCAGTAACTTCAAGAATTTCGTAAGCATGATCCTATTGAAATAAGTCTATAAAGAAGTTGTGTTTACTGTATATAAATTATTGTAAAGGTTTTTAAATGGTAGATGTGTTTGAAGTGTGAAGACTTCTGCTTTCTGCTGTGGTGGGTAACTCTCCTATCTTAATCGGCTAGAAACTGCACAATTTATGAAATAATGGTTTTTAGACAGATAACAAGCACAGGTTTTGCTCCTTGGCAGAAGGTGGACAGGTTGAGGCGGGACCTACGATTGCCCACCTGCTGCCTGGAGCCGTTCCCAGGCTGCACTGCAGGGAAGAGAACAACCGTGATCTGCTGCGTTGAATAGACTTGCTGCATTGGCATTTGGGGAGGCCACAGTAGCTAGAATCTGCAGGGAAGTACTGGAGAGGAGGGAGTTTCCAAGAGAGAGGGCTGCAGAAATCTGCAAGGAGTCCTCTTGAGTCTCTCAGCTTAGTACTGATTTGGATGTGTGTGAAGGAAACTTCCTGAGACCAGGAGAAGTAGTGCTGGGGAACAGCAGGCCCAAAGTTCCTGGAACTCGGAGCAGGCTGGGGACAGTTCACGTTCTCACCAGCCAGAGTGGAAACAGCTTAGCACGTGGGGCATCAGGTAGAATTCCCAGAAGAGTATATTGCCAGTGAGGGTAATTAACTCTGGATTAAAAGCTACTTTGGACCCACTGTGTCTGACATCCAAAAACTTACCTGGCATGCAAAGAAGCAGGAAAATATGACTTGTAACCAGGAGAAAAATCCATCAATAGAAAGAGGCCTAGATGAGATTGAAGTGGTTGGAATTAGTGGACAAGGATGTTCACATAGCTATTATAAATAGAAAGTAGAGGAAAACATGAATTTGATGAAACCTGACTGGAAGGTATATTTTAAAAAGCCCGAATGGAACTTCTCACAATGAAAAACACAATCTCCGAAAATTAGGAAAAAAAACCCTGCTAGATAGAATTAACAGGTTAGACATAGAAGAAGAAAAAATGTCATTGAACTTGAAGAGTAGGAATAAAAACTACGCAAGTGATGTACACAGAGAAAAAAAGACTGGGGAAAAAAAGAGCCAGGAGAATACAGTGGTGTCATCCACGTATAACTGGAGTTCCAGAAGGAGAGGAGAGAGACAAAGGGCAGAGGAAAGAATTTGAATAAATAATGGCTGAAAATTTTCCACATATGCTGAAAAGTATAACTCTACATATTCAAGAAGCTCAGAACCCAAAACAGAAAAAATATAAAGAAAATCATGCCGGTGGACATCATAGTCAAATCGATGAAAACCACGAATAAAGCACCTAGAGAAGAGAACAGACTCAGCACAAGGATGGCGGGAGGCCTCTGGCCGGGACCGTGCAGCCTGGAAGCCAGCCAAGCCACGCCTCTAAATTCCTGAAAGAAAAACAGGACCCCTGCAATCCAGAGTTCCATTACTCATCAAAAACACCTTTCAAAAATGAAAGCCAAAAAGACTTTCTCAGAAAAATAAAATCAAGGATAATTTATCACCTGTAGACCTCCCTTCAGGAAACATTAAAGGAACTTTTTGGGCAGCAGGAAAATAATACTAAGTGGAATTTGGATCTAAATGAGGAAATGAGGAGTTCTGAAAATGGCGAGTACGTGGGTAAATAGAAAAGGTTTTTTCCTCATTTTAGAATCTTTCAAAAAAGCGATTGACTCCTTCAAGCCTAGGGATGAGAATGTATTTTGGTTATGATCTGTTTAGAAGTAGGGCGTTTGCCATCAGTAGCGCTTAAGCATTAATCTTGAAAAAGAGCTGGGTAGACTGCATCATCTGAGTCAGAACCTGTGTCCTCGGGGCTCCGGATGACTTGTCCTTGTAGCAGCTGCACAATTGGATTGTACGTATCGTGGATCTGTGTATGTGCTGACCGTCCTCTGCTTCTCCAGGCCCAATTCCCCCCGTCTCTGCTCCTCGAGGCTGTCCTCCGGGACAGCGTCTTGAGGGTCCTGCGTGAGCTTGAATGTGGGGGAGCTGGGACGAGAGGTGTGTGGCCGGTGGAGAGGTTAGTGTGTTGATCACCTCTCCCTTCCTCCTCCGGGCCATGGTGTTGGCAGCATCTTGCTCTTGTGTGACTGCAGCTTCCACTGGGCCGCCCTCTTCCATGGCCCTCAATCCCTCGGCTTTCAGTAACGAAATTCTGTCTCCCTGCTCTTCATACTTAAGGGCGGTAACTGCTTTGGGTGCCTCACCATCCCTGGTTGGTTTCCTTAATTCTGAACACATGTCTTTAAATAGTCCCTTTATTAAATGTTCTTGAGTTAATATTTTGAGTTTACCATTTGTCTTCTGTGCCATGTATTTAAATGATGAGCGTTTAACAAAATTTTGAGCATCAGTTACTGGTACGTGTGCCTCATAGGGCATAGATTGACATCTGTCAAGATTTACCACACTATATTAATATTTTCTCTTTGTATTTTAACAATTCAGTAGAAAGTATAACAAAGTTCTTTGTGTTTTTTGTTTCGTTTTACTGCATGTGTACATGGCTCTGGAGATTGTTACCATCTGCTCCGTATGCAGGTGGTCTTGTGGTTATTACTAAACCCGTCTTCAGTAATAGAAACTGAAATATTTATGGAGTCTTATGCTACCTCTGGGTTAGCCAAACAACTGACAAGAAAGCATTGTTATTTATGTTAAATATGTACAGACAAGAAAAAAGATAACCAGTTACTGAGTGAAGAAAAGAATAATGTATCATATCTTCCAGTACTCTCATTTTAAAAATTGTGCTGTGCAATTAAAATATCCTCATTCCATATTCTGCTGTTTTTATTATGTATAGTTCATGTAGTCGGTGACCGACAGACAAGGTTTTCCATTTCAGTTGTCAAAATTACCACAGAGAACCTTTCACAGGCTTCACACCGGTTCCATCACTGACACTAGGCCAAGAAGACAATCTGCTTTTCTAAGATTAAACCAGAGTCGCTTCACTTAGAATCTCAGGAAGCATAATGTTAGGTTGAAATGGACTGCCAAAGAGGCCAGTGTCGACAGCACCATCCCTGTCATTTGTCTAACACTCTTAAGAATGTCACCTTTCTCTTCCTCTGTCCCCCAGTCATTCTCTCCTGCTGGCATATGAACCTCTGCTGAAGGAAATAGTTGCCATTGGGCTACACAGCGGTATTTTCTCTTCCAGTTGGATTTGCATTTCAATCTGCATTTTGAAGGAGCTCTTCATGCAGGTTTTCCGTTTTGTATAACCTGGGAGGCAGCATTCACAGTGCCGTCTGTGTTAATAAACTTGAGTACCACTCTGCTCCTGCCGTTAGGGCATTAGCCGGCAAATGCAGTCAGTAGTTTGAGACCTGATCACGTTTGGAATACAGCATGTGACAGTTACCTGCAGTGGTTTCTCTGTAATGGTACCATGTGACCTATACAGGAGAGTAAAATGGTTTCCACCATAAGGGTTCACCCTGGTCCCCTTTATTCGCCAGAGTGAAGGGAAAGGCCATTCTCACTCTCATTATCTTAGAAAATTTTATTTATCTCATGATGTCTGTCTGCAACTTAGAAGCAGGCAATGTAGCATCTCATGACAGCTCAAAAGAATGAAATGTGACTAAGCTATTTCCAAAGTACACTTTCCTCCGCACTGCGCAGTGTGCTCCCAGCGCCCTCCCGCTCAGTGAACTCACATCCCTTGATAGGTGGTCAATTTGTTTTGAGGCTAAATCTGTAGACTTGGTGATGCTCTCTGATAATTCTATATTTTCTTTGTGGGGTTTTACAACTTGGATCACAATTATTATTTATTGTATCCAGGTAGTCTTGACATCTTGTCATTGAGACTTAGTTTCAGAATGTTAAGATTAAATAAACCAAGGAACACCACATTTATCTAATACGTGAGCACCTAAGTGATCAAAGATGCCAACAGAGAACTGCTATGGACGCAGTCACTGGTAAGACGAAACAAAGAAACAAAGAGGGACATCTGTAACTTGAGATTCTCATTTAAAGCATTCCTCTCATTAAAATTATTTATAAAAAAACGCATCAAGCTCAGATTCACGAAAAGATAAGGAAATGGGTTAATTTTTTTTTTTATGGTGAGGAATATTGGCATTGGGCTAACATCTGTTGCCTCTCTTTTTTTTTTGCAATTCTTTTTTTTTTTTTTTTGAGGAAGATTAGCCCTGAGCTAACTACTGCCAGTCCTCTTCTTTTTGCTGAGGAAGACTGGCCCTGAGCTAACATCTGTGCCCATCTTCCTCTACTTTATATCTGGGACGCCCACCACAGCACAGCTTGATGAGCGCTGTGTACGTCCACGCCTGGGATCCAAAACTGCGAACCCCTGGCCGCCGAAGCAGAGCACACAAACTTAAGCACTATGCCATGGGGCTGGCCCTGTGGGTTAGCTTTTTCGTGTTTGTTAGAGAGTGATCCTGTGCAGGGAGCATTAAACCATGGACTGCTCCCACTGCAGCCATCCAAACAGGAGTGTGGGTTTATCCCCAACCGTGGTGGCCACAGGGCAGCTCTGTGGGCCTCAGTGAGGTGCACACATGTCTCCTACTGTGTATGATGTGTCCGTATAAGAAGAACGTGTCAAGTGATGATGTCTGAGATCTGGGACCAGCTGTGGTTCTCGTATGAGGATAGGGCACCTGGCTGAGGAGAAACGTCAGGCTGCTGTTCTCTGCGGAGCGACCTCTGTGAGCTGCTCACGTCTGTCTCCACTGCCTGCTGCTTCTGGAGATCAGGGGCGTGTGGGCAGCTGTTAGCTCAAGCTTTTGCTGACACTTGCCCCTGTGCTCTATTTGACAGGAACATTCCTGTACACACGTGGTTACTGAGTAAACTGTTGGAGGTAATCTGTGTGCGTGTGATCATTGGCACAGTGAACTCTAGTTTCCATTCCACCTCGATATCCAAACTGAATCTGAACTCTCACCAGTTTCCGCACGTCATGAACGTAAAGAGAAGAGCACCTCTCCGCTCAGCTGCGGCTGGTGATGCTCCGTCAACACTCTGCCCGGCCCTGCGCTCACCGGCCTGGGGGCTGGGGCTGCGCAGAGGGCCAGGGGCCTGCTTGTTTGCAAACCAAACCGGGACTGCCCTAACGCTCTGAAGCTTCTATGAGCAGGAGTCTCACAGCCTAGCTGTACCGAGCACATAACCTCAAGGAACGCAGTGATGAGGCACAGTGTGCAGGCTGGTCCACGTCTGCCCCGTGCCCTCGGGACAGGAGGGGCTGGGCAGGACCGTAGACATTGAGGTTGGAAACTCCATGAGATTCCACCTAATCCAAATCCCCACTAAACAGAGGGGCAGTGTCCTGCCACAGATCACAGTCGCTGGCGGTGCCAGGCCTGGACTCCACATCTGCGTGTCCAGGACGCTGCCTAGGGGACCAAGTGCCTGGGCGTCCTTCCTCCCACACCGCAGTTCCCGTGCAAGCAGGCCTGCTCTGGTTATGCCTGAATGGGTGTCATGGCACGCCTCCGGCCTTGTGGAGAAGCTTTCTCGTGAAAGGAAGGAGAGATCCCTGACGCACTTGTTGACGCAGTGGCTCCTTGGTGCCTGTGCTGGTCGGCTCTCTGCTTAGTGCTTTATGTATTTTTTACTGTCACCTCATTTATCACTCACTAAGCTACTGTCGTAACTCAAGGTCACACCGCTACCAGGTGGCAGAGTGGGTTGGAACCCTTCTGTCTCCCTAGAAACGAACCTCTTTATCATACAACTGCTACCCTGTATTCACCCCTGTTTAAAACAGCTGTTTCTTCAAGTAGCTCCAACCAAAGCCAGAAGGACTGAGGGTCTGGTCAGACCGGGAACCCAGAAGGCATACCTTATGTGCAGTGTTAGCCATTTTACTACTGTGTGGTTTTTGACAAATTAAGCTTTTTTGAGCTCCAATTTCCCAATCGGTAAAATTTAAATGGAGTTATGGTGGTCTTACAGTGTCTGTCCAGTCCATTTATCTTGATCATGGCTCCCCTCCTTATGGCAAGTACGACTCTGACCCACTTGGTCGAAGGCGTGTCCTCTCCTTTTGGCCACAGTGACTGCCCAGGTTTTCTGTGTGTGACTCAGGAAGTGTATTTACCCGGATCGTGTAAATGGATGCTGGGGAGAAGTGGCCTCCCTTTGGGTTTGAAAACCAGAAGGTGGAGCTGCTCCTGTTCGTCCTTACTACGTGCAGGGAGAACCGTGTCTTCAGCTAGGATGAGGGATTCCAAACCTTAGAACGAAGCAGAGGAATGAATGAGTGGGTAGGAAAAAGTCCTGATGATGGCACTTGAGGTACGGATCATTGTCCCTCAGGTTGTTTCCACCGTCAAATTTTCTGTTTGTTTCCTAATTAATTCTTTTCTGCTTTAGTTGCCTTCTGTGTCTTGCAATCAAGAGGGTTTTTTGGGGGTTTTTAGGAAGATTAGCCCTGAGCTAACATCTGCCAATCCTCCTCTTTTTGCTGAGGAAGACTGGCCCTGAGCTAACATCCATGCCCATCTTCCTCTACTTTATATGAGGGACGCCTACCACAGCATGGCTTGCCACGCAGTGCCATGTCTGCACCTGGGATCCGAACCAGCGAACCCCAGGCTGCCGAAGCAGAATGTGTGAACCGGGCCGGCCCCGCAGTCAAGAGTTTTGACTAAAGTAGGAATGACACCTGCCTTAGCTGTTTCCAAGGTTCTTCATGAGACCAAAGTAAAAAATAGTATATAGACCTCTTTTTCTTCATTTTTTTATTGTGCCAACATACATATGACATAAAATTTATCATCTTAACCATTTTTAAGTTAACAGTTCAGTGGTATTAAATACATTCATAATGTTGTGCAGCCATCACCACCATTCATCTCCACAACTCTTCATCTTGTGAAACTGAAGCTCTGTCCACATTGATGGCTAACTCTCCATCTCCCTCCCCTGGCTCCCACCCTTCTATTTTCTGTCTCTGAATTTAACTACACTAAGTACCTCATAGATGGGGAATCATACACTATTTGTCTTTTTGTGACTGTCTTTTTTCACTTAGCATCATGCCTTCAAGATCCTACTGTGTTGCAGCGTGTCAGAATCTCCTTCCTTTTTAAGGCTGAATAATATTCCATTGTGTAGAAAGACCACATTTTGTTTATCCATTCATCCATCGATGGACACTTCAGTTGCTTCCACGTTTTAGCTATTGTGAAAAATGCTGCTGTGAACATGGATGTGCAAATGTTTCTTTGAGACCCTGCTTTTAATTCTTCTGGGTGTGTACCCAGAAGTGGAATTGCTGGATCATATGGTCATTCTATTTTTAATTTTTTGAATACATAGACCTCTTACAATTCTGAAATAAATGGTCTCACTATGACATCCCTTCCCAAGCTGCAAATCCTTCTGTCTTAATTTTGTTGCTGGAACCAGCATTCCTCCGGTCTCGCATTCTGGACACCTCAGTCCTGCTCCTCACCCTCATTTCCTGATATGGTCTGGAACCCAGTCCTCTTCTTGTTTCAGCATGTCCTGTTCAATTTCATGTCCATTCCCATTCCCACCCCTCTAATTATTCACATCTGCACAGTTGCCATAGCCTGCAGTAGAGGGATGATGGAGAATGGTGGTTCAGGGGCTGGTCCTGCAGCCTATGGTTAAGTTCAGCACTCTTTGCTTCAGCAGCCTGGGTTTGTGGGTTTGGATCCCAGGTGCAGACCTACACCACTTGTCAGCCATGCTGTGGTGGTGATCCACATATAAAGTGGAGGAAGACTGACACAGATGTTAGCCCAGGGCTAATCTTCCTCAGAA